TTTTTTAACTTAGATATGTGGGTTTAGACATGTAAAAAACAAAACTGCGAAAGCGGGCCACCAAGAGAAAATTTTTTACAGCCAAAAATGTCAGATATTTTTTTGTTCACCTATAACTCCTAAACAACGCATTAAAGCGAAAAATAAAATCTTTAAGAAATTACAGAACGTTAAATTGTACATTGAATTTGGTGAAGTATATTGGTGAAGTAAAACCTGAGTTTCACCAAATTTGTCAAAAACTGAGACAAATTACTATAAATGGCCCTATAGCTTGGAAATGAGTTCTCTGAGAGGAAAAACCCATATAATCAAAGTTGTAGAGCATCAAATTTTTCGTCCACTGAGTACTAACATTTTTATTGTAAGTCAATTGTATATCTCGAATCGGGATTCGTTATTTCTTCATTAAATTCGGTATCTTTCGATACATCGTTACTCAAAATCCATCGCTACTGAGAGGCTTATATTGCATGTATCATATTCTAAGCAAGAATAACTCACTAGAATGGATACCCACACTGTTGCAATATTGAAAATCACACATACCTTCAATACCAATTTCTAACCAACGGGAGATTATCGATTTTGTTCGGAGTAAGTGACCTAAATCAAAAGTGTTGGTACTCAGCGGACGCAAAATTGTATGATTTACAACTTTGATACTATGAGTTTTTGCTCTTAGGAAACTCATTTCCAAGCTATAGATTCATTTATAGTAATTTGTACAATTACCAATTTGGTAAAAACCAGCGTTCGTTGGTCGTGGTTTTCTATCATACCACTTATTCAAATTATTAGGTTTAGGTTTCGACGCAAAATTTATTGTTCTTTAATTTCTTAAAGTGTACGTTTTTCGCTTTGATGCATCGTTCAGGAGTTATAGGTGAAAAAACAAAAAAATATCTGACATTTTTGGCTGTATAAAGTTTTCCCATGGTGACCCGCGTTAGCAATTTTGTTTTTTTACATGTTTAAAACCACATATATGATTGGAAAAAATAACAACTTTTCTCACATTTTTTGTAATGAATTTCCCGTTTCGACGCTCAAGTTAGTGGCCTAATATTATTCTTTAAATCAGTCGCCATTTTCGAAAGCAGCGGCTCTGGAACGGCAGACAAACTTCATTTTACTTAGAATAACATACACTTTCGTAATTTACATTCAAACCTTCGCTTGTGATGAGGTCAATTTCTGAGCTCTGGCTCCAGGGCTACAACCTAGAACTGGCGGACCCCAGTGTTCCCGCGTGACGTCACTCGTGCCCGCGAGCAAAAGTGTGCCTGTAATCTGAAACATAATTTTTACTTTCGGTCACCCTAGCAACGGTTTTACTGTTGCCTGCTGCAGATCGACAAGTTTTCAATAAAATAACAATATTTATTTTAATAAATATATAATAATTTATTGCAAGTATGAGGCGTAACTCCGAAAATAATAATTTAATAATATTATAGAATTTTGTGGGTTTTATTTAAATCATCATTATTGTTTTATGTAGAAGTTGCAAGATAGACAAGTTTTCTATATAATGTTTTACGATTTTTTTTCACGTATATTTATGTTATATAAAATTCATGGAGATATAAGTGAGCTTTTTGAACAAAATAATTTATTTCTCAATATAATATCATCACTATTATTTTGTTTAATTTCTTTATTTTACAGTAAAAGAAAAAAAAAATGATGACAATGTTCGTAGTTTTGGAAATAATAAAAGTGTTTGGAATGAAAATTATTTATTCATTTTTATCGATATCCTCTACATTTTCTTTTTAAATATTATAAACAGTGACCTAATTGCATTTCACATTTATTACTTTTAAAAAAGAACTCGGTGGTCGCCATCTAATACATAATCTATTGGTGAAAAAAGGTTGTGGATCTCAGAGTTAGAGTTATGTACTTGGTGTTTTTAAATAGGTCGTTTAGACTATCAGCATTTACTTGTAAGGGTATACTCATACCAAGGATTTCAGGCAGTCCAGCCACTTCTGATCCGTCTAGCTGACGGATTAAAAATTGCATTAGAATGAAGTCGACTAGACGGATTTGACGTGACTCGACTAGCTTGCTGCTCGTGATGGGTAATATTACAAATTTTAATACAAAAAGTATTAATTCATCATGTTTCTTTTTTGTTTTCATCATCGTGTATATCATTTCTAATCTCAAGTTGAATAAGCAGCCAATTGAAGATTAGTATATTATGAAACTTTTCCGGACAACAAATCAAATAAATGAAAATATATATTATTCCATGTTCCATATACATTCTTCTATGAAAATTAAAATAAATAAAACTTATGTAAAATTACACTCATCCTGTGAAACTCCGAATATGGGCCACCCCCACCTATAATAATCCAGATGTAGGAGAATCTACTTTAAATTCAAGCGTTTTTCGATCAATGGTAATTACATTTATAAATTGTAATCATGATGTTTTTAAAAAATATGTGGATATTTGTGATAATTCCGTTTCTTGTCTAGATATTTATAATGGAATTACTAAGCGTTACTAATTTTTACATTCCTTACTGAAAAAGGAACCACAGACCTCCAGACTGCATCTGTATCAGATCGCACCAGCTAAATGGTCTCTACTTTCTTCCTTTCACTGGAGTGTTCTTCCATATGATGTTAACCACGAAGGGTTCGGTGCCCATCTTCCTATAGCCTTAAAGGTTATCCTTCATCAGATGCGGATGTTGGATTTTTATCTTTGAAGGGTTATCGATTGTTAACTGATGTGAAAGTCTTCAGGGTACGTTTCCGATCAGTGCTGAAAATGACGGTTACTTTAATCTATATATAAACTTTCATTACTAATTTTCACATATTCAATTGCTGAAATTTATTTGATTTTTACTTGATTCAAAAAGTACACTTACACTAACCAGGATTTAGATGCTAGAAAAAACAATAAGAGTTTTATCATATCATATATTATATTAGCATTTTACATCTATAAAATTGCTATATTAAATCAAGTCACTGAGTGTATATACATATATATTGTTGACCCAGACATGACCCACTTCAATCTATTTTATTAATTAATTACTTTATAGGGTACGGGAATTTCCAAAGAGCCATTTGCGCGTTAAATCATATTATTTATTGTAATATTACTATATTTACCTTATTTTATTTTAAATGAAGCTGACTCAACACAGATTAACGGTATTTTTTTTACAAGTTACATAAATAAGTAATCTTTTGTCCAAAAATGCTTAGAACTTTAAGAATATGTGATATCGTGATAATGAGTTGAAAATTAGAAATTGCAAAAGAAGAAATTAATTATCTCTTCATCTGTATATACCGGATTTTTATAGTATTACGTATTATTGGCTTATTGTTTTCAATTATCAACATTTGCAATTGAAGAAAAAAAAATAATCCCCTCCCCTCCTACTAAATTCTAAATTCTAAATTCTAAATTCTACTTACCATAAAATCATAAAGCTCCTGGGAAAAAAAGGAAAGAAAAAATGAACTTACGCAGTCATACCCGTCAAAAGTCTATCTTTCTTTGTTTTTTTGTTATGTTTTTTGTAATTCTATAAATCAACTTAGGGATGCTTATCCTCTCCCACCAACGTCGATTATTCATGGTACCCCTCCCAAAAAAAAAAATTATTGCTCTCTTCTTCTTAAATAGATAGCAGGTCAAGTGAAAGTATAATTTAAAAAATTGTAGTTTGTATTCAATCAATTTTGCGTTGGTCTGTTCCATGTTTCTTCTGGTTCGAATGTTTCCCCAAATAGTAATCACACAAAAATTTTGTTCTCCTTAAAAAATCATTCAACCCCGTAGCAATGTGTCCTGTCGAAATTTCAAAACCCGTTTAGCTAGGTCACCATCTTTTGGGCATTCGAGATGATCATTAGAAACATAATTTAACTGTCGATATTTTTGAAAAAAAAAATCTTATATAGCTGAAATTATCAAGCAATTTTTATATTTCATATTCCTCCGAAGTGATAAGGAAAAATAAAACTCCAAATATAACTCCCCGGCGCTACAGGCCAGCATGACCCTTGGTCTCCTGAGTTATTTTTCTCCACCTCTCTCTGTCCTGTGCCACTCTCTTCCAATTGCGAACTCCTAACTTCCTCGCATCTCTCTCCACTTCATCCTTCCATCTGCTTCTCGGTCTTCCTCTTTTCATCTTCCCACTGAAGTGCGCTTCCAATATTTTTATTTGCACCCGTTCATTCTCCATTCTGACCACATGTGCTGCCCATCTCAACCTTGATATAGTTAGTGATGTTTTGATTCTCTAATATAGCCTCAGTTTCATTGTTACTTTTGATTTTCCACTCACCATTATCACTTGTAGCAAATCCTAATAATAAATCCTTATTATTATTTTGCTTTCGAATAATTTTGGTTTACGGCTATCCTCTTGCGATACATATCAGGTTTCCTTTAGATGACCTATAGTATAATAAGCGTTTTATACAGCTTTAATCTTGTGGCTTTTGACAACAATGGAGACTTGATAAATTTTATGTTTATACAGTAAGCTCCATTATTCTGGACCAATTACCAGCCAATATTCTGTTGTCTATTTCTCTGATGATTACATTTTCATTATTTATGACAGAACCGAGATATACGAATTTCTTAGACTTGCTGCCGAGGACAGTTTGAGGTATTTAGTTTTGTTTCCATTGACCACAAATCCTACTACATGCCATTTTCGTTTATGATCTCAAATGCCTCTTTAAGTGCATTTTCAGTTCGCGCAGCTATCACCGGGGCATCAGCGTACCGGTGATATTTTGTCAGGTCTTATCCACGATGGTGTCTTTTTTAGTAACGACCCCTCCTCGGAAAAAAATTAATGTTCAGAAAACTGAGTTAAAACTCCAAATATATGTGATATAAATACAACTTGCTTGAAATTATAAACTATAATAAGTAATATTTTTTACCTTTTTTTGAATTACCATGTTATTAATAATGATTTTTCCATCTGTTGCAGGGATTCTTGGAAGCTAACCTCAAGTGCTTTTGGGACCCGGGCCTGACTTCGGCAGTGCGAGGACTCCAGTTCAAAGGTTACGTCTGCCCGGGTGTGCTCCTCGTCGGCGGCTCTCCCCCCGCCCTCCACCTCCTCAGGGCAGCCTGGGCCAGGAATGTCCTCAAGCCACCCCCCAACTACCTCATCAAGCTACTGGGTACGTATCAATGGCTATTGCAAACCGGAAGACGTAGATGGGAGGATAAGATGTTGTGTACTGGAGTTGGTTCTATGAAGTGGTAGATGAAAACAAGTTGGAATCACTTTACTGACAAACAATTTAGACATCCTTAAAAAAAAATTAATAAAATTAAAATTAATGCCCAAAAAAAAATCAGACCAACTCCTAAAGAATGAAACTTAGAAGCCATACATTTAAAACTTTACTTTAAAGTTATACTTTCATTTTAAATAAAATTTTCTATAGCCGCTAAGGGGCTTTTGATTTCAAGGATCTGCTACTATGACAATGACTAAGCATAATTATTTAAATATTTTTATATTCTATTGGCTTCAATTTAAAGCCATTATATTAATACACTTTATCAAATAATTATTCGTTAAACGATATTGGGTCAAGAATAACAAAAAAAAAATAAGGTTTTCTCTGTTATCCTTTTATTTCTGACGTTTCGGCTCAGATTCAAGTATTATCTGAAAAATGTATAGTCATATACCATTAAAGTATTTCAATTTTAACACATCAATTGCTAACTTAATATATCCATAACCGTAATTCTTATATAATTCAAAGAACTTATTCAGTGTATAATATATAAATTTAGATTATTATACTTTACATAAGTTTAATTACCTATCATCTTTACAACTTTTTATCATTTGTAAACACAATCGGCCTTTTAATCAACTTTCCTTTAAGCAATTTCGTTGATATTACTACACTTATATATAATCTATTATAATGTCAAATTTATTTCTAAAAATAATGTGTGTACATATATTTTTTTGGTTGCCCTTTGTCGAAAAGCATTTAAAGAATAAATAATAAAATGGCATCAAGTATAAAGAATATGACTAGAAATATAATTAATTAATTTTAGTTTAGAATTATATACTAAATTTGTTATTAAATATTTGAGACCTTGCGTAAATACATGAATAACTGGAATTTTCAGAATTTTATTTTTAAATAAAATTAAAAAGTACATAAAAATTATAGCATTATTCATACAACACGATATCCTATAAATAATTAGTGAAGGGAGTTAGTCGATTGTTCTGGATATCATAGGTAATAGCTAATCAGAATGGAGTCAGTTTTTTAAGATTTTTATTTGCAGACATTTCAACCCAAGCATGTAGGTCATAATCAGGACATGGCATGTTAAGGTGTTCTTGGGTTGAAACTTTGCCAAATAAAAATCTTAAGAAACTGACTATCTCATTCTCTATTCCCCATTATATATAATTTGGTATTTTTTTTCTTTTTTATAAATTATGTTGAAGGGGATTGAAATATGTTATAAAACTGTTTCGGCCAATACAAAAACATTTTCGCGAAGTTAAATAGTACCATTTTTCGTATTTATTATTATTTTTTAATTGAATCTAACTAGGATAAGTAACTAGACCAACGTTTAGAGAAAACTAAAGAACAACTCAACAAAACAAAAATTAAATGTATTTTAGGGATAAATGAATTTTACGGCCCTATGTTATCCAAAAAACCAGCAGGTTTAACCGATTAAGAAAATAATTGTTGATTGAGGCTTGACTGTAGTGGATAAATCAAGCGATGCGTTTTCGTTTGACCAGCTCTGATGAAGGCCCGAACGTTGGGCCGAAACGTCGGCAGAAATAAAAATAAATATAATTATTTATTTTAAATAATTATATTTATTTTTACTATTTTTTTTTTTTTTTTTTTGGCTGATAACCCCAACCATTCAGAAAATAATATGAGATCGAAATGGCCGGAATGTGCAGAAAGCATCCCCATTGTTTTAAATTTATATATATATTTTTCTTATTAGAATATAAGAATATAAATATCTTATAATTTATAAATTTAAAATATCTCCTAGTCTGCGGTCCTATTGGTGGAACCCTTCCTGGGCGACAAAGATAAGGTAGTTCTGGTGATACCCCTCTGATCGGGTGACCTCTAGGTTGTCCTTTGAGGAGAGCTCGCGCCGGGAGGAGGTCCAAGTAGGCTGCCATTAGCATAACCCGTATCCAGCCTGGAATAATATCCGTCCATCAGCAGAACTGCCTCTATTCCTCTTCTCTTCTTCTTATCAGCCCATCTATAACATTCCGGGAAACGATAAGCAGATATAAATGTACCTCTTTATTGCTATATAAGTATTTCAATGTTGTCAAACAGTGGGGAATATGCAAATGTGATGTATTGATAAGTACGCTGTGTTCAGAGCTGTCGCGTGACTTTTTGTCGTCCGTGGTGAAATTATATCAGACGCTTCCTCACATCCCTCAAATTCGACCAGCAGTATATTGTCTCGAGTTTAAAGGTTATATTGATGATACTTACAATATATATATATATATATATATATATATATATATGTATATATATATATATATATATATATATATATAATAATTTGGCTATTTATAATAAATAAAAGTAGGGCGATGTGGCAGAGTTTATATCTAAGCTCCAACAGTTTTTGTGATGTCACACGTGAGACATGTGACCGGGCGTTGTCATGCAACAAAATGGGCCCATCCAATTGACCATAGAGGGCTTCATTATTGCCAATTTTTGATGCATTGCATTGATTTGGTTAGAATACAATTCGGCATTTATGGTTTCTCTAGGGTTTAAGAAGATGTAGTGTATCAAACCAATTTAAGCCCACCAAACAGTAAACATCACCTTTTTTTGATGAGTTGGGGGCTTTGGAAAATGTTCTGCTGCTTCTACTTAGTCGAGCTACTGACCGCAGCGTCTATTGGTATCGTTAAGTATCCACTTTTCATCACCAGTAACAATTTTGGATAGAAAAGGGTCGGCTTTGTTTCGGCAAAGAAGTGCAGCACAAACTCCATAACGCTGATTTTTTTTTTTTTTTTTCCTAATGACTGTGGAACTAAACTTTCATGCTTTTTATACCTTTCCAATCGAATTGATGAGGTCATCAATTCAATGGACGATTTCCTAAGGTTAGGATTTTTTTTTTATTAACGAAATTTACAACTGTGATTAATAAATACAACAAGTAAATATGAACAAGTAATATGACATGTACAACATGAGGAGAAACTACCCATTGGTAGCACTCTAATTATATTTCTATATTAGAAAGTCCTGAGGCCATCTTCTTTTTCAGACGCCTCGGAGGGTTATCAGGAATAGAAGAGGAAGCAAGGTTGGAAACGAGAGGGTTCGGATGGTTCAGAAGTTTCTTATGAAAGGACAGGTATCTGGATTGAGCTAAATCGGAAACATATGGTCATTATGGATGATTTTATTTGTGACAAAGTAGGGAGCATTAAGTATTTTACGAAGGATTTTGGATTGTAGGGATTGGATACGAGAGGAATTTGATGGTTTAGTAGAGCCCCAAAGCTCGATCCCGTAAGTCCAAATTGGCCTTATTATAGTAATATATATGAGTCTTTTGTAAATACTTGGCAGTTTAGAGCGTTTGTCTAGTGCTGGAGTAGTCGGAAACGTCGGGCGGTTTCTAGTCGTTTCAGTCTGGTATAGGGGTTCCAAGTGAGTCGTTTGTCAAGGTGGAGTCCTAGGTATCAGATTTGGTCAACAGGGATAAGTGGGGTATTGTTAAAGGATACTGTAGGACAGGAAGTCATAGGTTTACGACGAAGAGTAAAGGTAATTTGATGGGATTTATTGGAGTTTATTTTAATCCTTCAGTTATGACACCATTTTTCAATACTTGTGATGTGTGATTGAAGAGTTTGGGATGCAATAGATGGATCGTTATTGACTGATAGGATACATGTGTCATCGGCATATAAGGTTAAGATTAAGATGCCAAGTTCTCGAACAGTTGTTCTGGAGTGTTCTTCCGCCAAGGCACGTAGAACATCGTCATCAAGAGAGGAAGTGCTTCTACGATCTTTTTTGCCTTCAAGGCTGGTCTCCCACTTCACATTTTTTGAACCTCCGTTAAACAGTGCATGCTACAGGGGTAAACAAACATTATCGTTTGGAAGAGGATTAATGAGTGTTGATATTCATACAAATGGATAATCCAGTAAACGTAAACAGTTTGTTATATAGAAGGGCATTTTAAAGAAAACTCAAAATCCTTTCCGGACAACCCAATACGTTAACAAAGCAATTGAATATATTACATTTTTATTTTTTATTTGAAGCTTTGAGGCAGTGAAATTAACTCTATATTCTCAGATGCTTCAAATTTGCTACGGGAAATGTAATGAAATCTTTAAGTAAAAATAGAATAGTGAATATGATTAAATTATAAAATCCTAGGATGTGTTGCTACATATGATAGAAACTAAAATTACAATGATAGAAACATAGGCTGTAGTAAACTATTTACGTACCTAGTTCTAGCCCTTAGCTTCTAATCGACTTCTCTTATCTTCTTAATTGATTTTTAATTTATATTTTATTCATTTATGCACATTAATAGTTACTGATTTTTTTTTAAAATTTTATTCTTCAAAATATTGGGGGAAGAGACGAAACGATATTTTCGCTTCCTCTCTATTACTATTGTCAGCCCCTATATCAAGTACCGGTTCTGGTCAACAGGAACCAAGCCATTTTGGAACGCAACAATGCCTCTGGACATCGTTTTCGTTTTGACCAAAAAAAATACTGTTTTTCCTCATTCTGTGTATATCCCAGATATTGCACCATCAAATTATTATGGCTTGATGAGATCAATGGCTCATTTTTTAAAAGTTCGGAGTAAAACTAGGTTGTGAAGAGTTCTTTGCCTCAAACCTAAAACAGTGATACCGGCATCAAATTCAATAACTGGCAAAAAGTAGTTGAAAACAACGGACTTTACTCTGAAGAGTACTATTCAGTAATGTCTAAAATGTGTAACATGAAATAGAGCTATGCTTATGCACAAGACTTTTTTAAAAACCTCGTATAATATTTTCTTTTTTAAAAAAAAATTCAGGTAAAATAAGCATCTAATGCGGTATCGATGCCATTATATTTAGTTTTATTTCGTTAATTGATGACTACCACTAAAGATATTGACTTGTAATGATACGGATCAGAGAGGAAATTGTGGTTTAATAGAAAACCAGAGTTTAATTAATGTGTGTGTATTAAAGTGTAGCTCATAATCATTTAAATGGATAATTTGTGACTAATTCAAATTTTAATGTATTATTCTCAAATTTTTAAAATGTTTGAAACACAAGCATTGTCGTTTCAGTCCTGAATTATTTAATTTATGTCGCTAGTCTGCGTATTTATTCGAAGTTGGCGGTTGATTTCTTGATTAATAAAATATCAAATAAAAGAAAAAAATAATCTTTGTTTAGAAGTAATAATTAAATAATTGTAATAAATATATAACCGTATTGCAATAGTACGGTTGTTTTACGGGTTATCATACAAATGAATATAAACTTTAATCATATTATTTGTATTAACAATAACATCCGTAAGCTTAATTTCCATTTTGAAATACAGATTTCCTTTAATGCTTCAATAGCTCTGAAAAGAAATAGTAATCAGTTGGATGCAAGTCATGTGTGATAAATATTCAATTTTCACACCACGTTTGAAAAAGTTCTCTGACAAACTTTTAAAAAATTACTTGATATGAAAATGACACAGTATTCATTTGTCGTTTTCTCCTGCTATTATAACATGACCTGGATCATCTCAGCTGTTTCTTAAGTGATTTTTTTTTTAAGCTTTTCTTAAATAGGAAAGTACTGAAGATCTATAGAGTGAAAGTTGTTAATAAAAAACAAAGAAAGAAGTTTCATTTTGAAGATAGTGTGGGGATATATATACTCATTGTGGAGTCCTTAGAAACTGAAGTTCCACTTTCGTCGGTTTGGCATTGTTTCATGATCTATTATTCCTTGTCCCTCCTCCCATCCAAACTATTTCATTTATTATCTTTAAGTAAATAGATTTACTCTGAATACATTTAGTTGAATGTATAATATTATTATACCCTGTATCATAATACTTTTCTCATCATATTCTTTTTTTCTGCTTTTAAAATAATGTTTTAATGAGAGGCATTTATTTTTATCTTTTTCTCAACACTCTTTTCTGTGAACCACTTGTTGGCTTTTCATTTATCCTAAATATTACTTCTTTTTTTTTTCAATTTTATCTTTAACACCTCTCTATGTTGATCAACCATGAGGCCCTGTGAATGAGACTAGGAGTTAGAATTTACTCTTCAGCTCAATGTTTATTTATCTTTTGTAAGTACGTCTTTTTTTTTTTCACTTGATCCACTATTTTGTTCATTGGTCTCTCATAAAGTTAAATTTTGGCCTGTATTTCAGTCTTCTCCACGATAACTACTTGCGTGTCTTTTACGCCTGCGCGTGGTCAATCTGATGTTTCGTAACTTTTAGACTTACCGAAGTCTTTTCATTCTGTATGTCATAATTTTATTGTATAAATGTATTCAATGGAGAAGATTTTGTTTTGACATTTTTACATTATGGTTATATTGCGAAAAAGTTTTTATTTTGAGATTGTACAGACTGAGAATCAATACAAATTTTCAGTTTCTAAAATTCTTAGCTGTAAAGTTTATAGAAATGAACCTATGTTATAGAGACCCTGTTCTTCCGTAATATATTCAGTTGTTTTGTCCATAAATTTTCAAATATTTATACGTTTATATACATTTATTTTTAAATATATAGTATTATATTGTAAAATAAAAAAAAATATATATAACTATTCACATAATTATAGTATTTAAACTTTTTTTTTTAGGTCAATCGCCGTCACAATAAATAATAGAAAGTCTGTGCCTGTGGCTTGTAATATTTTATGTTGCAGTAAAATATAATTATATTACTATAATTATTACTAAAAGATAAAAAAATTAAAGTTTTAGGATAAATAATAGATTTAAATAAATAAATAAAAAATAATTGATGAAAATTACTCGACTGTTCTACATATCACGGGTGGTAAAAATTCAGGACGTAGTCATTTTAAAATTTTTATTGTTGCCGACGTTTCAACCCCAGTTTGTGAGTCGTCATCAAGTCTTGTTAACAGCACTGAAGGTGTTCAAGTTCTCAGAAGTATTTGAACACCATCAGTGAAATTTCTGCTTCAAATACTCAATAGTACTTTAACGCTTTCTAGTGCTGTCTGATTAAGTTTGGGTTGAAACGTCGACAACAATAAAAATCTAAAAATGAGTGCATCTCGACTGTTTATTCCCTATAAAAGAAAAAATCGGCACAAATTTTTTCCATGGCTTTAGTGAAGTTTGAATTATTACCTTATTTTTTAAATGTTCATTCGTATGCAATTGCGTTAATAAGCACATGTGAAGATAAAAGTAGGAAGATTTCTTTTATGACTTCACTGAACAAAAGTTCTTCTCTAAACTATGGCTAGGAAGATTTTTTGAATATAGTTAAAATCTTCAAAAATATCTAGGTTTTCCCCAAAATTCTCCCAATTCCAGATTGGGTTTTTTCCAAAACTAGGTTTTTTCATGCTGAAATCGATATATTAATGTCAGGAAAAAAAAATCTTTTAACAGACTTTTCGCCACTGAACATCTTTTTCCTTCGGACTACATCGAAGTCAGTGGAAGTTGTTGACCCCATCTCAGTATTTCTCGAATATTAACTGTAATTCCTAACCTTATTTCACAAAATCGTCATGGAATGCCCACAATCTTTTGTATTACGTGTACTAAAGACATAATATCCTCATGCTGCAAGGATGCCACATATTACGTGTGGGTTGTGCAACATATTGCAAAACCGCCCTGCCACTTTGCAGATTCGTTGCTAAACTAATATTTTCAAAACAGGCTCATTGTCCCCACGGCAAGAACATTCTCGAGTCAGCTAAAAACGGAGAAGGATTATCAACACAAGTCGGTTATTGTTTGTCTGAGTCCCATTGTCCCGACGGAAGGGAACTTTTCCCACTTCCTTTAGTAACAAATCTTTCCCTCTAAAACAACCCTTTCGCAAGAGAATCCTCTGCAGTTTCGGAAACTAATTGCCAATTAGATAGTTCTAACCAATTCGTTACAATTTACAATGGCCGCTTGTGCAACTGAAAGTGTGAGATTTTAAACGCTATTTAAACCTCTCCTCACTCTGCCTTTGTGAAGATGTAAAGATAAGTCGTACGAAAAAGAGAAGAAAAAAAAAACTATTCCAATTAATTAGTTAATTGGGACTGAACTTTATCGCTGGATCTCGTTCTGATCTCTGACAATTGAATAAGTTTTCTTTTTTCCCAAGACAAATTCAGCCCGTCCTAATAACCACCACTCGCTGTTGAAAGAAATGATAATTATCCATCCCTAATGAAAATGTCATTCATTAACTTTATTAGTCAGTTTCTGTTGTATCTATGTCATGAACTTTTTTAATTATAAAATTGAAATTGATACTTGACAATTTTTGTAATATTATTTCAATTTTTCCACTTTGGTAGCTGTTTTCAAACTATAGGAATGTTAAAAACAATATGTTTGCAAATCTGAAAGCTAATGTATTTTTTTAATGTAATGGATGAAATTCATGACATTGTTACCTACTTGGTAATTTTTTTATCAATCCATTTCCACAACCTTCATCACAACATAATATTCCTTTACTTACATTAGATCGCGATTGATGACCTGCAAACTCTTAACTGGTCTTTTCATTTCAAATTAGAGCCTAAATTAGCTTTAATTACACCGCTGTTTTTGAATTCCACTCGCTCTAAAGGGGTAAACAAAAGCTTAATGGTCTCTTATCAGTTGAGTTCCGATATTTACCAGAAGGTCTGTTCATTCACTACTGTCTATTTTCGGACTCACCCGCCCACTTTTGGAATTCCATATATAGTGTGTTAATTAGATCTTGAGCCACCCATCAAAGTGGAGTGACACTTGTGAAGCAGTACCGAATGACCCATGCCACCAAAGTACAGATTCTTTAGAGAAAAAAATCAAATAATCAAAATTTCTGAGAAACAATGGATTTTGGCCCACTTGACAAGATAGTGACATGTGCACAATGGTACGGGCATCCTAGTCCACACATATTTCAAAGAATAATTGTCTGGATAAGTCCGCAAAAGTGAACTTACTTATGATAAGTATTAGTAATGAACCCAGAAATCAATCTTAAGACAAATGAAGGAAGGCTTCAAACCAATGCCCCTTTCAAGGATTTATTTTTTTAATTTAATCTATATGAAGTTTTGAGGAGTTAATCGGGGGGGTGAGGTCAAATAAATACTAAATTAAACAGATAGTAATTATTTAATATATGAAGTTTTATTTAAGCATAATACATTGAATTCATCTCTTGAAATTATACATCGTATGTCAACATTATTTAGGTAATATAAATGCAGAAATTGTTTAATTTAACTTATTGGAAAATTCTTTCAATACAGAAATATTTGTTATTGATTATCCTAATTAATAATTTTTCTAAAACAAAAAAACTAATACTATATTTGCTTTGTTTTTTTAATGTTTAAGAGTGGATTTGAATACTTTGTTTCTTTTTCTATGTATTTTACTTTCTCATTAAAATATTGATCCATTAATTTCAACCTTTGCAGGAGATGTGGAAGACTGCACCGTCTCTAAAGTCCACCAGACAGGCTTCACCCCTCTACCCGATGCTGTCTGCTGGGTGATACTCCAGCTCGGATCTGCAAGTCAAAATGCTGTCCTCGACTCTATCCAGTCCAGCTTGATATCTGCTTTCCCAGATATGGAACAACCTTCCAGGCATGTCCTCTATGACACTCTGGCTGACCTCATGTCTGCAAATAAGGTGATTCATTATTTCATTCACATTATTTTATATTTTTGATTTAATGATATTTTTAAAACTTTATGTTTATAATTTCAAACTAACTTCCCTTTAGCATGCTGGTGATATGATTTAATTTTTAAGTTAAACAAAAAATACAAATGCAATTATAAATATAAAGTAAAATCAATTCATTCTAATTAATTTATTTTACAGATCTACCAGACCGCCCAAGGTTATTTCGTTTCGAACCCGGAAAGCAGTAGGGGATCAGGTGATAGTAATTCTCGTCAAGTTCTGCTTACTCATGCTGAAGCAGCAGCAATAGCATCGGGTGAAATTGTCACGATTAGGGAAGGAGCCAAAACTCACCAAGCTATACAGACAAATCTAGCTGATGTAATATGTGGAGGTAAGCTCTGATGCAAAAATACTATGATTAATACATATTCTATTTTTTTTTTTAATATTTTATTATTATGTATGGAGAATATGTAATAGTGCTGTAAATAACAAAGTTAAAGTAGTTACTGAAAAATATTTTATTGAACCTCCGTGTTTTTAAATTTAGTCTACAGAGCATTTGACATCACCAAACGTCCCTTGGCCTTCCATAATCTTATTAATAAATCAATCGATTTTTTTATTTTACTGTTAAAACCACATAATAGAATAGTACATTGATATAATGATTTGAAACATAATCGTTAAAACTGCTTTGGAGAAAATTATAAAGATTGAGAATGGATTATATATAAAGTGTTACTTCAGATAAGCCAAAAAGTTGTTAGATCTCAGACATATACTGTCTTTCAGTACCTATTTTCACTTTCGAATCCGGAAAATCCGTCTTAGAATGCTCCTATTGAAGACAAGAAGCCTGGACTCGTCTGCTTTCATGAACATCCAAGCCTCTGAGCCATAAGTGACAACTAGGCAGACCAGGGTCTTATAGAGCTTGATTTCAGTCCGGTTAGAGAACTTTCTGCTTCTAAAATGTTTGATGAGGCCAAAGTAGCTACGATTAGCTTCTGGAATCCTTCTGTTTACTTCCTGAGTAGTATCATTTTGGGAGTTGATTTCTGAACCCAAATAGGTGAAGTTGCTTACCTCTTGAAAACGGTACCCTCCTGCATAAAAATATCCAACTCCTGGTTCGGCTCCTCCAATTCGCATGTATTTTGTCTTGGCCTCATGAACAACTAGGCCAGGATCCCTAGAAAGATTTTCCAGAGCCAGGAATGATTCTCGTAGGGCCCATTCCGATCTGGCAGCAATATCAAAATGATCTGTGCATACCAGAAGCTGGACTGTGCCGTTAAACAGTGTTGATTACAGTTGGATTCCTGAATTCTGTACCTCTTTCTTTCCTGTAAAATTAAAAAGGAGACAAGCCAAAGCGTCTCCTTACCTAACACCACAATTTGTGAGAAAGGGGTCAGAAAGATCTATGCCCACACGCACCATACACTTAGAAGTCGTCCTTGTCATATTAACCAGTCACAGTAATTTCATCGGGACGTTCATTTCTTTTAGGGCCTGGTAAAGTTCTGGTTGAGCAATGCTATCATATGCGGATTTGAAATCGACAAAGAGATGATGAGTAATAATTTTATACTCTTTACATTTTTCCAACATCTGTCTCAATGTAAATATTTGATCCATAGTGGATCTTCCCCTTTTAAATCCTGCCTGATACTTTCCAATCTCTCTATCCGTGTGGGCAACCAATCTCTCGAAGAGGATATTTGAGAGTACTTTATAAGCAGATGAGAGGAGAACAATACCATAGTAGTTGCTGCATTCCAGCACTACTCTTGTGCTCTCTCCCACTCTTGTGGAGTGGGCAGATAATATCCTTTGTCCACTCCTCAGGCATTCTTTCTTCTTGCCAAATAGAAAGGATGAGATTTTGGAGATCCTTGTTGAAGTCAGGTCCACCATACCGCAGTAGCTCTGCTTGAATACTGTCCTATCCTGGCACCTTATTATTCTTCAATTTTACAATGACTGCCTCAACCTCGTCTTCATCTGGTGGCTTTGTATCATCCTGCATGTCCTCTGGCAGAGAGCCTGTTTCAGCAAATTCCTCCATATCTTCTTTTCATAGTACCTTCTTGAAGTGAGAAGCCCATCGCTCCAAGATATTCTGTATATTTGTTAGACGACATCCTTTTTCATCCTTGCATGATGTCACTGTTGGTTCGGATACGGTTCGTCCCTCATTCACCCGTTGAAAAAAGAGTCGACTCTCTTGTGAAGTTCTGAGAGATTTGATGTCTTTCATCCTATTGTTCTTCCACATTCTCTTTTTCTTCCAATGAACTCTCTTCTCCCTTCTCTCCTTCTATCCTGATAACATTCTTGTGTACCCCTTGTATGCTACTACACTATCTTCCTATATGCCTCATTTTTCTTGAGAGTGGCCGTTAAGCATTCATCATTAAAGAAAAAAAATGTAACTTTATGTATTCTTTTTCCTGGAAACATGGTACTTCCTACAACAAGGCCTTGTGAATTTGCAAAGTCAATCAACTTTTGAGCACTATTGTTTGTAACCTCGTGTAGGCTGAAAACTCCTGTTGTCACCAGGGCATTTTGTTCCAGGCCTATTTGTACGTTTAAATCTCCCAGAACTATCTTAACTTTGTTAGCGGGGCAAGCTGCAAAAGTTCTCACGAGATCTTCGTAGAAGCCATCTTTATCTTCCTCTGGTGATACCTCAGTAGGTGCATGGCAGTTGATGAAAGAGATGTTAAAGAATTTCTCTCTAAGGCGGATATAGCATAGAGATGGGTGTAAATTTTAAGACTAGTTGGCGGGCTCTTCCTTTAACAATAAATCTAGTACCAAAGATGTGGTGGGTTTATGTAGTATTCCTCAATTATATTAAGAAACGCCCGAAGGGCTCCTAGTCGGTGCAAGGACAAAATATTCCAGTAGGCTATACGTAGTTCAGTTTGGCGGTCCCTGGTCTTTGCGACAATCCGGATTTTATTACTTTTTGTGGTTTCCGTGATAGTCAATTTTAAGAGGAGTAGGTTATCAGCCTATTACCCCTGAGTTAGGTGGAGGGGTAATAGTATCAGCCTCCTCAGAGCGTCCTGATACACTCCCCCTTCCGGGGCAGCTACCTAGGAGAGGTGATCCTAGGGTGTGTACTGTAGGTGACCATAGTCTGTAGTAGGGGGGTGAATGTTGTGTGCTATATACAGTTTACTGTGTATTAAATGTATATTATGCGGTCTCCCTACCAGGAGGACCAGTGGCTGATTGCAGCCTAATGGCTGAGCGATGTGGGTGCCACTTCCCAATGCCATAATATGTTAGTATAGTTCTGATTACATCAAAAGTAACACAGTCAATCTTGAAAATACTAATAATTTACGTTTTGGACTCTATTAGTTGGATTTAGTTAATTTTTTTTATTGTTGACAACACTAGCGGATCCAGAATTTAATTTTGGGGGGGGGGCTTCAGCCCGAAAGCTTTTTTTTTCATAAAAATGATGATAATTACTTTGGAAAAAAAGAAAGAAACTAAATATCTGTAAGAAATGGTGTTTAAGTGATTAATTAAGTCCTTTAAAATGTAATTACACGAACAATAATACTTTAAGAGATAATTTTTAAATATATTTTTCCATAAAACATGGTTATATTTTACCATTTTGTGGGGGGCTTCAGCCCGAAAGCCCCCTCCGTAGATCCGCCCGTGGTTGGCAGTGTATGTTGAGTTATTGTCATAAGAAAACAGTAATAACATGTCATTTAAATAAACTTCTTTAAGTAAAAGAGTTGATAAGAATTTAAATAACTGATTTAAATATTTTTTTAACATCTTCATCACCTCTATAGGTAACAAGAGTGATAAAATTCTATACGCAAGGGCACCAGCACGGACACCAGGGAGGAAGCTGGAGAGGAGGCACTCCATGAGGCTGCTGGGCAGCTCAAGGAGGCTTTCTTCACTTCACAGGGCAGGTTCTGTCAGGCTGCTGCACAATAGCACTGAAAACAACCAAAGTAAATAACAATTTCTTACTTTATCCATTTGATGTATTTGTAAAGATTTATTTTCTGCGAGAATAAAGTTTGGCTGGAATACTGTACTGCATTGAACTTGATTGAGTACTTATTCTGCTAAAGAATTGACAAAATAATAAAATCTTTATCTAATTTCAAAACAATTTACAAGTGAATTCGAAATTGAAAAACTCATTTGTATATAAACATTAAACTTCTTAGCATGATGAAAAAAAAAACAGTTGATAAAAACAGAACTAGAAAAAAGTATTTTTTTTATATACAGAATTGTTTACTAGAGTTCTTGAGTCTTTTTTATATATAGTTACATTATCTATTTTTACTCATATATTCCTAAATCTTTCAATCTGTATTGTTTAGTGTTATATGTTTGAATTATTACATATTTATTTAGTTAGTTGTATTTGGGTGCCATGTGCAACTACATCGGTTAGAGGCACCTTTTTTAGTTTCATATTCATTTCAATAACATATTCAATAGAAAAATATCTGTAAAAGATTTCATTGTTTCAGATGAGATTGTGTTGTTAAGATATAGCAATAGATAATCTGTTGTTACAACTGCATAGGTTAGTTCTGATGTGTATGTAAAAGTATATAAGGGTTGTGTTGTTTAAATATGTCTTTAATAATTGTGTTGTTTAAGAAATTGGAACAAATTTATCAAGTTTTCTGATTGTAGGACTTGTTAAACCATCATAGGCGATAGAGTGTTCTTTGTTGATCCAAGCTCAGCAATGTACTAGAATATGTTGAGTTGTTAAAGTTATGTTGCAGCTGTGGCCTCTTGGGGGAGAATTCCCATCGTGGTGAGCCTCTGAGGCATGTTTCAATAGTTTGTTCCCTGCGCTTTCCTTTAATCTGTGGGAGTGGACTAGTGTCATCATAGACAAACTTCATTTTATTGGTGCTTAGAACCTTGGTCCAATCGTAACACCAAGCTTATTAACATAGGCTCCATACTGCTTATTGTAGTCTTCAGCGCTGTGTTAATTTCAACAACTGGAAATACGGTGGATGCTTCTTTTGCTGCAATATCTGCAAGTTCATTTCCCCTTATACCTATATGGCTAAGGGCCCAGATATATTTTTTATTTTTGTTAATTTTTTTAATGAGTTGTGTGATTGAGAATACTAAAGAGTTTCTGCAGAATTTAAATTTTTTTATTAGCTTGAGGGCTGAGTAAGAATCACTCAGAATTAGAATATTATTGGAATTGGGATTTAAATTAGAATTAGAATAATTATTAATTTCATCATTTATGATTAAGGTTAGGGATAAATAGATGGCAAAGAGCTCAGAGGAGAAGGCAGAATAAATGGAAGGGAGTGTGTAGCGTATAGTCGTGGCAGGTAGTACTATCAAACATCCCACATTTTCTAATTTGTTTGACTCATCAGTGTAAATGCAGGTGAAATCTTTGTAACAATTTAGGGATCAAGAAGTAATGTTTTAGGGTTCCTGATGGATTTGCTAGTTATGATTTGTTTTTTAACGAGAAATCAAAACTTACTTTATTTTTTGTCCAAGGAGGTAATGGGTTTTATTACAATATCAATTATTTCATAAAGAGGTATAAATTAATAAATAAATAAATTAGTAACAAGACTTACAAAAATTTGAACTCCACAAGTGGAAGAAAAATAAAGAGCAAAACCCAAAATCTTGGATATGCATCTTGACTCTGCCACTCTGGTTAAAATAGGTTGATTATCTAGGATAATCCCTCCATCTTAATTTATGCTACAAATTATCATTATGATGGATTTGGTCAAAGATTTATTTGTTCTCTTTCTGTTGACCTGATATACTAGTATTCAAAATAAAAGCAAGACTATTTTCCTGGTCCACTCGTTATTAATGTTAAGCTGGTCAAATGTTATCTTTTAAAATAGAGAGGTTATTTTTTAATGATCTTTTCTTGGTGATTAACAACTAAAACTCTTGAAAACAAGATTTCTACCCATGGCTGGAACAAAAATTTTTTATCTGAAGGGGAAGCTTAATTTTGTTAATCCTTCTTTTACTTCCCAACATCCTCCACAAGCTCCTTATAAAAGCTTAGCTGACCAAAAACAGATTCATATATACATGTACAGCTTAGCGCTTTCAATAAAGCAATAAGAGGGATTATATTAGTACAGGCTAACATTTTCTTTTTTTCATGGGAGTAAGGTTATATTCATTATAACTGATACATTGAATTTTGTCCGTAAAACAAGTAGATGAGAGTAATTATTGGGATGGTTTTTATTCATATTTTTACTAATATTCTTGAAATTTAACTTGAATAGTACTCTCTGGAGAATTAGATATCATTGATTGATAAATTGATAAATTCCATAAAAAAACACAGAGGGGATGACCTTCTGCTACAAACATTATAATACTATTTCAACATTTTTAATTAGTTTCTTCAATTTTGAAGTTGGACAAAGTAAACTTGGTCCTAAATGATTCACGTAAAATATGCCCTAATATGTATTTAGTACAAATTATTATTGGTATTTTTTTTAATTATATTTTATCCTGTTTTTCAGAAAAGTGCTCATTATTCTCCAAACTCTTCAAGTGGTCAAAAAGGCAACCACAATCTCCAAGTGGTATTTCTTCTACAATATCCATGCCTTTCCCACCGCAGGAATGGTTTAACTCAACTGTCCTTGGTCTGCATTCTGTCGGAACTCAGACGAAAACTCTTGTAAGTAAAGTAAGAAATTTATTTTGTATTATCAAGTATCTTTTAAAAGAAAGTCCAATCATTATTTCAAGAAAGTTTTATAATTTTGAGATCATTTCTTATACTAAACTGATGTTTACAAAGTTATACATAAAAATTTACTCAAAATATAAATAATATATACTCTGTTTTTTTTTTTTTTTTGCTATTAAAAATTATTTGAGATGTTAACTTTGGAGACAGCAGTAGCAAACAAGAAGTTGGTCTCAAAAAGTTCACAAATTCAGTTTATAAATTAAATAGTAAGGTTTATTCATTTGATAATAGCTCTATTAAATATTAGGTTACCAATATTCTTGAATATGATCCATTAGTAATTATGGAAACTTCTACATGGATCTAGCTCATTAAACATAAATCAAAACAATTTAAAATCACTCAATTGAAATTTTTTATCTGATTATTGCCAAGTGATCTTGATCTTATCACAGATATTGCTATATAGATTAACCAAGTACAATAGGATAATTGGGCTTTGAGTAATTGCTAGCAGCATTCGAAACATTGTGTTATATTAGTGTAATATTAATTGTGTTTAGCAAATAAATTGCAAACATAAATATATATATGATTGTATTGGTTTCCTGATTTTAGGCTGCTTAAGAAATAAATTTTGTAAGTCCTTTGAATTTATATTTACAAATAATTACTATTTTCTTAATCAATACCAAAATATACATGATTATAAGGTTTTGTATATGGACTTAATAAATTAGTTTCTGAGGTAGTAATATTAATATATACTCTTTATTTCCATTTCTTAAAAATTACATTTTCCCTTCAATTTATTCTATATTACCTCCATCATTCAGATAAATTTTCAGTATGAAATCTGTAAGTAATATATTTTCCCAACCAGGTTTATTAATGACTGACTATACTTCTTATCAAAATTAGTGCACCTAGATAATTTTTTATGTGGAAATCCTATTTAATAAAACTAACCAAATCGCTTTGTGTTAATTCATTTGTTTACGATTCAGAAACATTCAAGGATTTTTTACAACAGGTACTGGTGGGGAGAACTATTCTGGCAAGTAAGCCTTGTGATTCTTTTTGCCAATCCATGGCGGCTACCTAGAGGTTGCCACCGCATATTAACTAGAGTGGGAGTATCAAGATTCATTTCCCGGAGCCACCGAGAAATAGGTATTAACTGATCCAGAAGGGATTCGAACCCAAAACGTTCAAAACTAAGTACTCATGGATTCTCACCCCAATGTTTTTTTTTTTTTTTTAGTTCTCCCTCTCCTCGCCTTTAAGGCTATACAGGATTTTCCCGGGCGAGGGAGTGAGGACAGAAATTTAAAAGACTCCCCCAGCACCAGGACGTGAACTCGTGACTATTTTTGTCTAGTTATCTCATGTATCAGGTTACCGAACAATGGAGGTGCTGTGCACACACGTTAGCCCATTCAGCCATCCTGCCCCCAAAAGAGAATAGTGGAACCAGTACTGAACTGAGAATGTTCACCATATCACAGAATAGTACGCTAGCCACTACACTAGCAGAGTACTTAAAACATTTGATTTTTTTTTTCATTCCTTGTTCTTCTATACCTCACCTTTTAGGCTATACGGGATTTTCCCAGGCCAGAGGGTGAGGGTGGGGAATTTAAAATCCCCTCTGGTATCCGGGACGCTAACTCGTACTTTTTTTTAATCTCATATTCAGGTCATCTGGTTGCCAGGCAACTCGTGGTGCTGTGCACACGCGTTAACTAAATAGTTTAACTGTTAACTACCTCAAATATAACCCTTGTTCTTTATTTTGTTTTTTAAATTATAATTAAAGCTAAAAAAGAAAAATACCCATTTTAGTTTTCATTCCCACATCCTCATTCTCCTACGAATAAATTATTTTTATATTGAATAAATTCTAATTTTGTAATAAATGAAACTCAGTTCTAATTAAATATCTCCTTACAGAGTCGTGGAGATGGTGAGTGGTCATCAGAATGTGGCTCTGTTAGATCTCGACGGAGATCTCTCAGCACATCACGACTTCCAAGAAGACAAACACGGCCACCATCTGTATCCCCCTCAAGGCCTTCGACCTCTTCGACACCAACGTCTTCAAAGACTGCACTTGCAACGACTCCAAAGGCAATGTCTTCAACATCGTCTGGTTACAATTCTCTTCCCCGATCACATAAATCAAAATGTAAGTCTCCGCAAGTGAACAACCCTTCTACAAGGCATTCAGGAAACACTATCAAAGTGGAGTTGTCTGCAACCCCTACCAGTTTGACCGCGGATACTAAAGTTGACACAAGGATGTCTGCTTCCATTAATGACCCTTCAGCAACCATGACCACCACTATAAATGGCCATAACTCAACAAAAATTTATGTTCAACAACAAAATTCTCCTATTAGATCAGTAATAACTTTTGAAAAAAGCAAAAAACCAGTAAATGAAAAAATCAAAGAAGAACCAGATCGAAATGAGAGAGGTAGTAGTAAAACTGAATCGAAAAGAAGCAGAAGGCCGTCATCACTCTATCAACAGAGAGAGAGGGAAAGTGCAAAAGAAAACAGTAGTAAAAATAAAGTAAGCCTCGGTCAATTGGATAATAATGTTAAAATGAAATTTCCATCAACAGAGACAATTCAGATGGAAGAGAAGGTTTTAGTTTCCGGGAATAAAAACAACAAAAATCTTTGTCAAAAGAAAAATGTTTTTGAGGTATCAAACATGTCCCTGAAAGCAGGCAGTCTAATTGATGTGGCCGAATACACAGCAGCTAATGAGCGAATGAACAATGTTCGGAAAGCGTCTGCCTCCCTGACGCCCCTTCAGCCCGCTTTAAGCACTGACAAAGTCTTGGAAAGCCTTAGCTACATTAATGTTTTGAAAGAGACACAAGATTCCCTCTCCAAACATGAAGAAAAAAACTTCTGTAACAACTCAAACAACAAACTCTCAGTTACTATAGAAAAAACAATTGATGTAACTGGTAAAAAAACTGAACCTACTATTTGTTCGTTCCCATCTCTTAGTAACCTCTCTTTACATTTCACGTCGATAGCTGCACAAAATATTTTAAATGGTGTCAGCATAAATTCTTTAGACACATTAGTCGAAGGAAATGAAAAACACAGTTTAAAAGATATTGGTATTCATAGCGACCTGGGTGTAGTTTAGGCAGTTTGACAGTGCCTTAGCGATTAAAATGTAAATAAAGGCATTGCCGACTTGATCATCCACAATATTTTTATTGTATATCATAGAGTGATTTCCTAGCATTTATGTTTAATGTAAATACTAGGGGAATTAAACTAATCCCAGTGATATGAATTGTAGACTAATAATTTTGAGTAAATAATATGTAGATGATAGAAACACAAATAAATATTTATAATAATAATCAAAATGAAATCAATATATATGTATTTTTTCACTAGTTTTAATACTTACAATGAATTAGAGGCCATATTGTAATGATAACGTATTATTGTAAATATTTTTTGAGTAAGTAATATTACACTGATGCCTTATGTCATACCAAGTTGTGCCAAACTTCAGCTATAGTATAACTACTCAAGTGGTCAGGAATCGTGCACTGTTCTATGTAATGAATAATTTTGATTAGTAAATAATTTAGCTGAACATCAGTGCTTGAGTCTTGAACGTACCATTAAGTTACAAATACGCAGAAAATTTCTGCAATAGCTGGAATCTTTCATCACTGTGTGAGATATCTTGAGTGAATAATTTTAATCAAATATTATTTTTTAATTATGTTTACAATATACTTGTAATAAATGAAAATAAATTTCTATTTATAAGGTGCAAAGTATTTTAAAATTTTCTGCCTTTAAATCTAGTTTTTTCAATGATTCAATAGTAATTGTGAAAATATAATTTTAACATTATACATATCTCAATTAGATGCTTGGTCAATGTAATTTTATGTAGGTCTACAATTTGTCTTTTTTCATTACCTTAAACCACCTAAACCAAATTGGTTCCACCAGAAATTAAAAACAGTTTTATATCTGAAATTAAAAGGAACATCACCTTTTAGGTTAAATTTATTTTTAAATAAAGAAGGAACTTGTTCAATGATTTTGAATCAACATCATTAACATTTCTACTGTCTGCCTCAAGTACATTTTCACTAAATAATTGTTACTTATTTTGTATCAGCCATATGACTATTTAGATAATAAAAACAATATTTAAGAAGTGGTACCATATAAAAATTCATAATTAAATATGCAGAAGAGATTTTAGAAAGAAACAAACCCAACTCATATATACTGAAAAAAAAATCTTAATTTACTTCTATAGTTCGACTGTGATTAGTTGGCAGCCCGAGAGTGAACTCAAGTGACACTGGGTTAATTTTTTCCCTGACCCTCTGACAATACTTACATACTATTCACTAACATATCACTAATGTTAGTGTAGCAGGTCATATTTAACAATTTTACATGTTTATTTTCTTTGTACTAAAGATGACATTTTGTAGTGTCCAACTGCTATAAATAGTCTATTAAATAGGAAAATAAAATATGAGATTATACTAGTAAATTGTAAAGAAATAATCTGTTTTTATGTTCTGTAAAAAAACTCAATTTTCACATACAACCTTTAGCAAAGTAGCATATACATAAATTAAAAGATTAAAATATTGTTTATGTTTTGATAAATTAACATCAGAGGTTTAAGGAAAAAACAAAATGTGTTTAAACTTACCAGGTGTATAAATATGAAACCGGAAAACGTCCATATATGGCTCTAGTTATTAATGTAGTAGCTCTTGAACAGCACAGCACTATTGCCACCATTTTTTTTTCTTCGACAGCTGGTAAAGATTTTCAACTCATAACAATATAAGTTTCATTTAACAGCATAATTTTAATAGTGTTATGAACATGTCAAGTTTTGTGCCTTCAAACAAACTACAATTTGCAGATAGCATTATTTTTCTGATACCATTAAAGAAAATTGCTACAAAATCATATCATGCACTTGTCGAAGTTTAAAGTGAGCGTGCTGTTTGTAAAATTTGGTAAATGCTTTGAGTGGTTGTACTTAAAAAATGGTGATTTTCATGTGAGAAATGAAAAATGTGTGAAACCACTTAAAAAGTTTGAAGACAGCAAAGTACAAGCATTTTTGAATGAAAATGAAATGAAACCCAACAACTCATAGATCAATTAAATGTTACAGGAGAAGCCCATTTTCATCAATTGTGAGATGTCCTGAAAGCTCATAATTAGTATCTTCACAGCCATCTTGGAAATACTTGTAGCATTTCTATGATTTACTCATAGTAAAAATACCGAAAGCAATATTGAACATTTCTAAAATTTAGATTTTGATCCATTTTTTTAAGCGATATTTACTCTATTTTCCAACTAATCAGAAATTGACACAAGCAAGCTAATTTAGATAATTTTAATCTCATAACACTTGAGATCAATCCCCAAAAAGCCATAAGGACAAAAATTCTATTACCTTTTTAATACACCTTGTGTATATGACTCAAAATTTGAGTTTTTTTTTTTTTATTGAGTTATTAATGGATAGAATTAAGAGGAATTCTAAAGGTACATTGAGACGAGAGTATAAAATCCTGTTGGTTATGGTCCTGGCATTATCTGATCAACATAGACTAAATAGCATCAAAGAAATTCTGTTAAAATTTTGAGTGGGCTTAGGAGTAAATTGAAATGCTTAAAGCTGCTTCCACATTGTGAGACATCTAAAAGAAAGTATCTGTATAGAAATATGAAAAACGCCTTGAATAATTTAGACAAATTAACTAAAAAATTATGTTCCTAAGAGCTGCAATTAAAAACATGAATCCAAGATACAAGTATCAGTACTTGAGGAACATATAAAACACATGAACAAGTTTCCAACATTTCGTTTTATACTGAAATGTGCACATCTTAACAGAGAGTGAGAAAGTGAAAATATAAATCCATCAAACATTAACTAATTTGTTTTTCATTCAAAGCAATAGTCCAAAAAAGTTACATATTTTTTATATCTGATCTTTTAAAGTATATTCCTATGTACTGTCCGAAATTTTATCTTTCAAATTTTAAGAATATTTTTATTCCTACTATTCGTCCAAATTTATGCCAATGTTTACTTTTACTAGTTCTTTAATTCCATGTGATAAGTTAGTTGGCTTTATGGGATCTTTTACAATTTTAAAACGTATGTACAATATTAGAAGAAAAAATTGTGTTTCGCAGTCTTGAGACATTATTGGAAAAATGATCTGAGGGCAAAGGCAACCACTAAAGAAATTTGTGCAATAAGAGGAGAGTCAGTGTTCAATTGAAATACTGCCACACTTTGGTTCAGGCGTTTAACAATGGTAATATGAGTCTGGTAGATGAACCCAGATCAGATTGCTCATCAGTTGATTACGTTCTTATTGAATGGGTGCACTAACGATCCAGCATTTAATTATGGAGCTTCAGCCCGAAAGATTTTTTTGTATGTATATATTAGGACAATTACTTCAGAAGAAAAAAAAACATAACTACATATATGAAATGATGTTTCACATACAACCTTTAGCAAAGTAGCACATACATAAATTAGAAGATTAAAATATTACATTGTTTTTTTAAAAATAACATCGGAGGTTTAAGGAAAAAACAAAATGTGTTTAAACTTACCAGGTTAGTAAATATAAAACCGGAACATGTCCATATATGGCTCTAGTTATTAATGTAGTTACTCTTGAACAGCATTATTGGCATCATTTTTTTTCTTCGACAGCTGGTTAAGAAGGTAACACAAGAAGCTGTCTCATGGGATGATGGGAGATCCAGAGGATGGGAAAACGGAATCCACAAGAATGGAATAAAATACAGCAAGAAAGCCACCTCCAATACTGCTTTTCATGTACATGTGAAAATTTGTCCATTTAATTGTGATAGTTCATGAAAAGTGGATTCATTTTGATAATTCTAAGCATCAAATATCATAAGTAACTCCAAGTGAACCATCAACTTTGACTGCAAGACAAAGTAGCTGTGGGAAGTAGACAATGCAGTGTTTGGTGGGAACAAAAGGGTGTGATCTATTATGAGCTACTAACACCTGGCAGAACCATCTACACTCAATGCTGTTGACAACAAATAATTGATTTGTATCGAGTATTATAAGAAAAATTACCAGCATTTAAAAAAAATACACAAAAGTGATTTTACTTCATGACAATGCACCATCAAACCAATGAAGAAAACAATTGAGACATTTAGTTGGAGAATATTGGAGCTTGTGGCTTAATTACCAGAATTGGCTCCCTCCAACTACTATTTATTTCTACTGATGGGGCATGCACTTGCTCAGCAGTGCTTCACTGCTGAAAATGACTTGATGACTAGTTGGCCACAAAAGAGCAATAGTTTTTCTGGCATGGCATTCATAAATTGTCAAGAAAGATGGGAAAAATGTAAAGCTAGTGATGGATAATATTTCGAATACACCATTTTAATGCAATTTCTATATAAAAATGTTAGTGTCATATTTATACACATAGTAGTGCTACATGAATTTGCCACCTCGCTGTAAACTATTTACAAACTTTAGAAAGTTTCTTATTGATGATTAAATGCAATTCATAACCAGGAATAGCCTCATCAGAATTTCAGCAAGGAAATTAAACAAGAAAAAATAACGAAAAAGTGGAAAAGGGAGAGCTGTAGGAGACATAATTAATTTTAAGTTGTAACGTAACTGGCTTCAAGAGAATATACACAATTTTGGAAAAATAAAATACTTCAAAATTCACATTCTGTTCCCGATTTCTGAGTTTTTATCAATTGAGTGATGGAGCAGGACAATATAACATGGAGAGCTCAAGAAGGCCAAAAAGTTGTCCAGGCCTAGTCCACGGACCATCTCCTTCCTCTAAAAGTAATTAATATTTATATTGAGATCTAGGTGACTGATTGATCATGCTAGAAAGATTAAAGAATATTTCTTTTTTCATTAATTGCTGGACTGATCCTGATTTATTTCATTGATAATTTACTAAAAAAAGGCTTATTTTATTTTTTCAAAAGAAAACTTCAGTTTTTTTCAATAAGTACTAGTGAACGACCTCTTCCATTTATTTCATTTCTTCGTTACTTTTAGAGAAAGGAGATGGTCCCTGGTGGCGATTATAGACTAAAATAAGTGGAAAACTAAAATGTAAATCTAAAAATAAGAGACCATACATTGCAGAACTAATTTAGAAGTATAGAGAAGAAACAAATATGAATATTTATAAGTGCCCTGCGTTGGTACAAATCCTTCCTTTCCGATCGATCCCAGTATCTTCCCAGATCAACCTCCTTCAAAGACACTTCCCTCTCCTATGATGTCCCTCCTTACCTCCTACTCTGCCATTTATATTAATGACCTTCCTCTTCTGATCTATCACACTCAATACCACATCTATGCTGGCGATTTCCAAATATAACTGTCCTTCCCCCCCTTCTAACCTATTAGCCGCCACAAAAAAGCTTCAAGATTTAAATCTGGGCATAACTGGGCAGGAGCTAACAAGCTGAAGTTGAATGCAGAAAAGACAAGCAATCTTAGTAGGTTCTAATCACCTCCTCAGAACTGTTCCTACAAGATACCATCAAATTTTATCCCACCATTAAAAACCTTGGAATAATCTTTGATCAAACCCTTTCCTGGAAAAAACATATCCAATATCTCTGGACCTACCTTTTTCACCCTAAAACATTTAAATAGCTTCTGTCACCTCCTTAATATTTCTCCACTTGACTATTGCGGCATTGTATATGGACGCGTATCTGGGGATCTTGAGGGGAAACTAAAACGTTTGATAATTTACTTTGTATGATTCATCTTCGGGATCCCAAGGGGGGGGGGAGGGGATGAGTTGAAGTGCCTTTATCCTTCCTATTGCCATAAGTATTTCCTGATATTCTTCCTCTTCTAAGCCATTCGCTCCAGCTGTTCTTCATACATCTCAGAGCTCCTTCAATTTAAATCATCTGTACACTCCAGCAATACTCGTTCCCGGTCTTCAGATTTAAATATAATGGCCCACCTAACCGCTTTTTTTGATAAATCTTTTATTATCCTTGCTCAGCCTCCCGACATCCGTCATTCCAATACTCTCCCTACTTTTAAATCCTGCCTATTCATCAATCACTTAATTTTTATCCAGTCCCTATAAAATTGCTAATAGAAACTTCTGTAAATATATATGTATTTTATTAGTTCATTTTCATTTCTTTGCTCATACATTTCATTATTTTTTTCTTCTTAATCAATTTAATTTAGATAACTGTTTTGTTTCTGTTATATCTATTAGTTTACTTTGTAAATACATTTATATGTAACTGAGGCTCACAAGCCTACATTTCTTTCCTTGTTAGTTATTCTGAAGGAATTCACCCCAGGATAAAAAAGAGTATTATTATTACTAAAACACTACATGCTGCCCTAACCTTCATACCCACCTGAAATAACTTTATCCTCTTTCCAAAAATAATAAGAACCCTAAACAAGGATGTAATTTTTCAAGCATAGATGAGATTAGAAGTGCATCACGGAGATAGCTAAATGTTATCCCAAATATCAAGCTCCAGCAAGGTAAGAAATAATGCCATAAGTGTTAAATATCTAATGGAGTACTTTGAAGGTGATAAAATTGTTGTAAATGAATAAACAAAATTGTTTAAAAAAGATGAATTCATTACTTTATGAACATAGTGGTATGTTGTAAGACCTTTCAAAACAAAGTTATGTACTGTAAAGAGGTTTTACCCATATACTCTTCTTCTGGAAATAGTTAACATAATTTATATTATTCATTATCCAAACTTGTAAATTTAACATCTCTCCATCATCCTCAATGAAAAATTTGAAGTCCTAAATAGATGCTTTGACAAAAATTAAATTAGGTAATTTACTTAACATTAAATAAAAAAATTAATGACAAACTGATTTTATTTATTTAATTATAAACACTTAAAATGTCAAAATTCAAAATGATGTACATTTATATATGAGCACTTCCATAAAGGTGAGGAGTACTTAACGTCAATTAGAATGATACTCCATACCAAATATAAACTTTACTAGTATGTGCTACGGTATGTCCAAACACAAGGTAAACATCTGCCAAGTTCAACAGTAGGTATTGACAGAGTAGCGAGCCCGCTACATAATATGGACTAATGAACACTATGGCAAATATTTGTCATGAGTGTGGTCGTACCTTAACAATAACTTCTCAATACCACATTATAAATCATTACAAATATTATAAAATAATATCACACATATTTACTAAGAACTAATACGTCAATGACAGTTCTTTAATCTGAACTAAAAGCAATATACATGGATATATACATATAATATAAAAATACAAATAAAATATTAGCCACACTGAGCTAAAGTCAAAATAAATTTAATAATGAATTATATTTAGAAGTTATTAGAACAATTGAAAACTTGAAATGAATACATACAATGTTTATGATACTTGACCAATTTGAAGCTTTTTTCCTTGATAAAAAAAAAATTTATTAACAATTCAAATGCAAAAAAAATTATCAAGGTTTATTTGTAAGTATGGCAACTTTTTAATCTTTTAAATTGTTCATTTCTATTGTAAATTAATGCTTATTATCCGCAAAACCATTGAAAGTCAATAAAATAAACAATAAATTTATTGTTAGTGGAAATGAAAAAAGAAGTTATGATCAATAGTCATTTAAAGAGCGTCATCTTTCATACATATCTAAATTAAAGGGTTATAATCCTGGTAACCAAGAAAAGAAAAAAAAAAAAACATGTACTATTGAACAAGAGTGAAGGAGAGAGTTATGAAGACTTTTCCAGGAGAAATTCAAGAACAGCTGTATGACCACTGTCCTTGGCCATATCGGCAGGTGTAGACCCTTCTGTAGCCTCTGCCTTCACATTAGCACCTTTTGAAACGAGCAACTTGACAATTTCAATATGCCCTTTATCTGCTGCCATATGGAGAGGAGTGTATCTCCCTTCGCCGAGAGCTTCTAGTACAGCTCCGCATTCAATCAATAAAGTGACTACACCTAGATGGTTGTATTCTGATGCGGCATGCAAGGGAGTCCAGCCACTTTTACTCACAGTATTCACGCTAGCCCCCTTTCTATGCAATAGCTGAACCATGTCTTCTTTTCCAGCAGCAGCTGCCCAATGCAAAGGAGTATTACCTACAACAAAATTATATTATAATAAAAAATAAACAAAACATAATAGTAAGGATATAATTGAATGATTCTGGGGCAGCAAAGCCCTCTATATTCAAATGAAAAAAAAAAATCTACCAAGCGAGGTATGTGCTTTAGACCACATGATAGGAGTGAAAACATCAACAAAATAATAACATTATTTATAAATACAATTATAGTTGTGTATAAACTATTTTTTTTTTTATATTCACAAAGTAATAACTTTTAAAATATATACAATTATAATTGTGTAAACATTACTGTAGTAAACATTGCTTTGACTGATTGCTATTAGTACTAAACTCTAAAAATGATATAATAGGTAAATGATTTGAATATATTTGCCAAAAATCTAACAAAAACTGTCATTTTTTTTTATCAAACTTCTTCAACAGGAGGAGTCAGTAATTTGTCATAAATATCAAGTGCAACAGAAAATCAAATAGAAACACATAATTTCTTATTTTATGGCCAATTAAAAAAAAATATATCTATAATGAAATATATAAATCCATATGAAAAAACACTTATTAGTTAGTGGATTCGAGCTGACTTTACCTGAATGGGTGTTACATATCCGAGTGACTGACGGCTCAATTCAATTCACTACCCCCCAAAATGTGAAGAGTGCCTAAAGAAGTTTGCACTTCAAATACTGATAAACTAAACTATCCAGGCTGTTTCATAATTATTGAGGAGCCTCCCAAAGCAGTGATTCCAATACTCTGAGAGACTCATGTAGTAAGTCATTTTACTGAATCTCCCAACATTTCATCACAAATATTTAGAAAAAACCATCCAGGTATATTTTAATAAAAACATAAAATTTTAGATACTTTACTTCAAAATTGAAGCCCCCTCTCCCCCCAAAAAGTTACAATATTGAATTGGGACATTCTGGAACTAGTATATTCAATATGGTTGAGTAAAACACAAAATAGAGTCTTTATATCGGAGTTCAACCTCTGGACATTTATTTTTTTAAATCTTTAACCATAAAATGAATTTTGTAAGATCTTTACATATATGTTTCTTTGCTTTTGTTCTTTATTTAAAAATTAGGTCTTGATTAAGTAATTGCAGTATTTTTTTTAAACACTATACCATTAAACTTATCATGAGCAATAGTGCAACTTGTGAATAAATCTCTTGCTTTTAGGCTTACTCAGGTTAACATAAGTGCCTTGGGATGTAGTATAGTACTATATATTTTTAATTATTGATTTTATATCTGTTGCATGGAATTTATTTTGCTGATGTGGTCGTGATCTTGGTGTCTTAATTAAAAACACAATGAATGGTTAGTAGCTATTTTTTTTTATATGAATTTTGTGACTCATTAACTTGGACTACTGTTTAGAATCTTCTAGTTTAACACTGGTAATTAAAATTTAATCTCCATAATTATCTAACCATGAGAAATTCCTTATTGAAAATTAAAAACATTCAACATAAATATGAAGGTTCAGTTTAAAATATTTATTATAACACATTTTTTTTATTTCTGTTTCCATTACAGACTACATAATAGATCTTTTGCCACCTTAACAAGTCTGCTTTATCTCTGTCTGTTTTGGACCATTTCTTTCCATTTATCTGCACGCAGCTCTGTTGCATCTTTATGTCATGGGATATTGATTGACAAGTTTCTGTAAGCAATTCTTTATTGTTTTTTCTTCTTCATCTGTTAGTTCTCTGATCCCAGATCGCTCCGGTTATCGTGGGGAAGATTTTCCTCTCAAATCTTTTAACACTTTTTCTAGGGTGCTGGTTAGTGTCCAGGTCTCTCAACCATATATTAGAAATGGCTTTATCATAGTATTGTACACCTTTATAGTTATAATGGAGCTTTTTGTTTTATTATGAGATTTTTCGGAATTTCAATACCTTTGACAGGAAGAAGAAAGTTCTGTTTGCGCTAGTTATACGCTGGCCTATTTCTACTCTTTGGTCATTCATTGAGTGTTATTGTAGAGTCAAGGTATTTGAATTTTTCTACTATGATTTTTCCTTCTACGCAGATCCTGATCCTGTTATTGAGGTGGAATTGTTGGCTTATTATAATGTATTTTGTTTTGTCGTTATTTACTTCTAGGCCGATCTGCTCTACCTCTCTTATCAGTGTTGTAGTAGAGTTTCTTAATGTCTTCTCGATTACTTCGAAGGACAGCTATATCATCTGTGTACCCAAAGATTTTATGATTCATTTGACGCGGAGCCCTATTTGCTTAGTCTCTCCAAGACTAAGTAGACCAACATTAATGATAGTAAATCTCCCTGTCGTAAGACTGTTCGAACTTTGAAGGCTTTAGATAATTCCCCTTGTATTAGGACTACATTTGGGGTCATTTGTACACGCCTTTGCCAATCTCACTAAGTTACCAGGAATTCCCAGTTCTGTCATGATTTTCTCAAGACAGCTCCTGTCCTCAGAATCATAGGCTGCTTTGAAATCGACAAACAGGGCACAGACATCCTGAGCTACTTCCCATCGATGCTCGAATACTTGTGTTGGGTCTAGTTCATAGTGTCTACAAATAAATTTTGTATGAAAAAATTAAGCTCCATAAAATTATATATGGAAGAAAACAAAAATCATAATAAGCATTACATAGCTTAACAAATCTTAACATAAACTGAAATTAACGAAACAAGACTCAGGATAAAATTAAATCAATAATATAGCATTATCATAACTGAATAATTATAATGTTCAGACTCACCACTTGAGTCAACGACACTCAAATCAGCTGACCCCTGGCCAATCAACAACTCCATGACATCGGCAAAGCCAGCACGGGCAGCAATGTGAATTGCTGTATGGCCGCAAGCATTCAGATAATTCACCTTAGCTGCCTTTGTCAATAATAACTTTATGGCCTCCAAGTTATGTTCCTTAACAGCAACACACAGCGCAGTTTCACCTTCACTATTTTCCCCATCGACCCTGGCACCAGCCTCTAAGAGAGCCGTAATTGCAGACAGACTGTTCTTTGTAACGGCCAAGTGTAAATATGAATTTCCTACATCAGGGATATAATTGGGATCAGCCCCGTTTTCAACAGCAGCTTTAATGGCAGCTGGGGAGTCAGCTATCACAGCATCGTTAAGAGACACTTGCAGTTCAGGATTCTGAATTTTATGAAAAAACAGAAAATAATAATTTTTATAAATTAAATTATCAACATCAAATGCAAATTTACTAAATACTATTGTAATAGAGCAGAAACATATAAAATATATTATTTAAGATTGTTGTGCGTGAATAGATGGGTGATGCAATTGGCAGGTTTAAATAGTAGCAAAAGAATTGAAACATTTTTCGAAAGTTAATACTTTCATCAATTAAATTAGTGTGAGTGTTAAGTTCCAGAACCCAACCTTAAATAATATTTTTAATTACTTGTTTACAGTCACTTCAGTAAATAATAAATTATATTCTTAATATACTCTCTTCTTTATATAGAAGATAAACATAACCTTACAATACACTAAGAGTAAAACCGGCTTACTCAGATCATTAAACCAAGTCATATATTCTAATAAAGAAAACTTATATAAAGTAACTATTTTAGTAAATTTACTGAAAGTTATCAATTTTTAAAATTTACTTATTATATTTTAATATATTTTAAGAATTGTATTTTTTTATAACACCTCAAGACTCAATAATTAAAATAATTTATTTTATTGATACTATTAAGGCCTTTTTCTACTGGTACTTATTTAAGTATCTTTCCCATTATATTTTATTTTTTAAAACATTGAATTTAATAATATAATGTTTTTTTTTATAGCAAAAATAAAACATGGAGGAAGTTTTCAAAAAGTCTAGAGAGCAGAGATAGGAAGTCATATTCAGTCTTAAGCACATTCTCTCAACACAGCAATAACCTTTTGAAAAACAGGGGAAAACTTAACTTGCTACTCAGACAACTAGAAAAAAAAAAGTTTAAATCTTTTGCAGAAATATTTTTTTATGCCTTCTGAAGCATTAGCGGTAGGTTTAAAGGTTCCAAAATATGGCACAACATAAAATTTATGAAGCGTGGTGTTGGGGTCAGGGGTACTTCAAAATCGAAGTACAAATCTTTCCCCGGTGAGTTTCCTCAAAGGTAGGGAAAATTAGAGTAAAATTAAAAATGTTGGGAAAGAAGGAAAAAAAAGAAAAAAAAAAAAAAAAGAGTAAAAATGAGGCCTGTAAAACATTAAAGAAAAAAACAAATGCATGCACAAGAAAATATTATTAAATAGAAATATTTCAATAAGTAAAAAAACGTAAAATAAAAAATCCCCTTTTTGAACGTTTACAATATTTATTATGGTGGAAAACGATCTATACAAAATTCAAAACAAAACAAAATAAAAGAGTATTAAAATGCACTGAAATAAAATGAAAAATAAGATACAATATTCAGAGAAAATTAAAATAAATTAAACATTAAAGAAAAAAGTATAAATAAAATCAACTTCTAAAATTATAGTAAACCAAGAGAAAAAAAATAACTTCAAGAGAACAAAATCAAATTTCGAGAATCAAATTAATTAAAAGGAAAAAAATTAACTTGAAAGTTCATTAAAGTTTTAATAATAATTTAGAGAGAAAACCCAAATTAATATTTAAATGTCCCATGGTGATGGTGAGAATAAAAAACGTTCCAAGTTGGAGGATCTTCTTCCAAAGAGGTTACCTTGTACGATGTCAAGTCAGTGGTGGTGAGTATCGAATCGATAGGCCTATCGATCTCGATCGACGACTAGAGATGACATAGCTGAGCTTTTCAAAATGGCGCTGGTGAGGTGAAGATGAGACGAGATGGCCTTGGTGAAAAATGGTGGGGGTAGACGTCCACTACAAATGAAAGACAACTCCAGACCGCCTATCCAGCAGTATTTTGATGTCTTAATCCCTAAGACAGGGTATTACTGCGAGGCTGGTGTGTGTATATTAACATTTAAAAGGGGTTAATGGTGAGAAAAAATAATAATTAAAAAATAAAATAAAGATATGAGTGTATGCGGCGTTAACAGTGGAGTTATCTCTAATGACAATTGTTGTGATTGGGTGGCAAGACGAATTAGAAGAAAAGATCAATTTATACAAATATAGAAATACTTGTTTTATTTTCTCAATACTTGGAAATCTAACATACTTAAATCTTGATAATATACACTATTTACGGGGTCCATATATATTGTACTTGGGGGGTGAGCAACGATATAAGCTGTTTTTGAGCTCTTTAAAGTATTGTTTTGGCTCATTAAATAAAATCTCCTTTCTAATCCATAAGATATGAACATTGAGAAAACTTAACAACATAGGTAGAATTCATCAGCTCAGTATGCACAATAAGTCTGATGTTGACATGCCAGCTGACGTAGTCACTACTTGACAAACTATTACATCAGTTTAGTGAGCATTCCATTCATCTTGGTTCCACCACATCCCTTCTTAATCATAAAATATTAATAGTTACACTAGGAGAAAAATGGGTACTGAAGTTCACCCGACACCTGATTTATTAAGAGTCACATTTTATTTAATATTTTTTTTTAAATAACTAGGGGGATACCCACCCCACTGTCTGCTTAACGGCACACCAATCCACATTTTACAAATTATACAACTGTTCATTCAAATGTACTACCTTGTAGCTCAAATTGTAAAACTGTTATTTACATGCATTCAGTAGTTCAGGTTGCATTATTTTTAATCAACATATAATAAACAACGGAACGAAACCACAGTTCGGACAAATTTTGAATTTCTTTAAAAATCTATATTATACATCACGCCTTATTGCTAATTTGTAACCATAATAAGGGAGAAATAATTCTGAGAATAAGAAGTGTGGTGTCTTAGTCACGGTCCATTCCACTTGGTATATATAAAATAAAATATGGCACTAAAAACATTTTTATATAATAGAGAGATATTTAACATTAAATTCTAACTAAAAGTAAAATAAGAACATACCACTGGTAGAACTTCACTGCCAACTGATTCAAGCAACTCGATTAATTCTCTGTCTTCTGAAGCAATGGCAATAACGCCAGTGTCTTTTGCAAGTTGCACAATAGCCTTGAATGCAGAACTGGGAATACAGATCTAAAAAACGTAAAAATTTACTCTTGATCAACTCATAAGGAAATATAAGAGACTTGAAAAATAAAGAGCACCAAACTTTAATCTAAGTAAACATTATATGATTAAGAGTTGTATGTTAAAAACTATCAGTTTTCTTTCTTAATTAAATTGGTGTATAGCAATTATCAGCTCCAGGATACACTAATGGCTTCCTGAGTACATGAAGGTCATTTATTTAAAATGTCATTCTCTCAAAATATATTAATTTTTCATTAACTTTAGTAGCAAATTCAGTCAGAAATTTTTTTTATATTAATGTTTTCTGACTTTGCTTTGCATAGATTTTTAAGTTATAATATATCACTAGTTATAAGACAAGCTGACCCGTGCGAATACTCTGTAGAAACCAAATTACACGGTGGGCCAGCCCCTACTAGCGTGAACCCAAACATCTCTATAAAAAAAACTATTTATTAAAAAAAAAGCTAATGTTCCCACAAAAAAAAAGTAAACGCACTGCCCCAAAATAGCGGACTGACTTTAATTAGTTTTTTAGTCTCTGAGAATCAGCATTTGGCTTACTTTCGTCATAGTTGGTCATCTATTAAAGCTGAATAGTCAGAGAACAATAAAACATGAAAATATAATTGGCTTATGGAATAAATAACACCAGCAAAATCAACTTTTTTAACAAAAATATTTTAAGTTGAAAATCAAGCGTCGTTTGTAATGAAACTGCCAGCAATAAAGCAAAACGTGCTGAAATAAAACATCTGGAGAATATATTTCTCTTTCCAAAACACTGATTACTTTTTAAAATATCTGAAGTTCAGTAGAAAATGCACTTAAGCGGTATTGGCGAAGGTGCCTTACACTTACAGGCCTCTTCCACACTAAACAGTACTCATAAACAGCTTAGTTATAGTGCTATAATAACATTTTTGGTACATTATATTGATTGTATTAACGAACAAATATTAATGCAATAATTTAATTGACCAAAAACATTAAACAATTTTTTTGAAATTTAACTTTCTTTATTTTATACAGAGATCGTTAAAGAAGGCTTCTATTGTAAAAATGATACAATTATAATAATAAAACATAATTCAAAAATACTTTGCTGAATATCTTCAATTTTTGATTTAACGTTTTCAATTTAACACTTTGATTTGTATATTAAAGTGTATATACATTCCATAAGAACAATCAAATTATTGTATTAATAATTGTTCGTTAATATAATCTACCAAAAACGTTATTATATCACTATAACTAAGCCGTTTATGAGTACTGAATAGTGTGAAAGAGGCCTGTAAGGCACCTTTGCCAGTACTGTTAAGTGCATTTTATACGAAACTGCTTAAAATATTTTTAAAAGTAATCAGTGTTTTAGAAAGAGAATTTTTTTGCGTTATTGTTGGCCATTCAATAACAAACGAGGCTTGATTTTCAACTTGAAATTTTGTTTGTTTAAAAAGTTGACTTTACTCGTGTTTTTATTCAATAACTCAATTATTTTTTAATAGTTTTATTATTCTCAGACTATCCAGCTTAATAAAAGAACAACTATGATGAAATTAAGCCAAATGCTGATTCTCAGTAGCCAAAAAACTAACTATAGTCAAAGTCATTAGTCCACCATGTTTGGGACAGTGGGTTCACTTTTTTTGTTCGAACATAGGGCTTTTTTTAAAATAAATTTTCTAATCAAGGTTTTTTTTTTTTTAATAGTTACAAGGAACAAAACAATATGAGATTTATAGGGATATGGGAGAGGAGTGCACGGAAGGGGGGTATGGCCCACAGGCTAAATATTTTTGTCTGGTTTTAATACATTAAGGGCTCAGTTAAATTCCATTCAATAACGTTTGATAGGCAAAGGTTTAATACTTATATTTAGTAAGTCATCAGTTATGAATGTGATTTACAATTTGCAATGGTTTAACCATCAAGTTCCCTTAAACTTATAATTTAAATATTAGCTTTGTTTTTTTATGTAAAATAAGAAAATAATATTGCTAATTGTACTAAACAAATTCTTATGTACAATAAATTACAAAAACCCAAAGACGCTTCTAGTCAAGTAGGCCAAACAATTTTTTCATGAAAGAAAAAAAAAAGATTCATATCCCTTGTTAGCATCCACTAAAACTCTTAAATAAGAGTTTGTATCAAAATCAAAAAACCTAAATTTTTTTACTTAATTTTCTGGGTGGATTTTTTTTTCATGTTGTTTACTAAAATATTCATAATTCCACAAGAATTTCTCTTAAGCCAACGTTAGTGCAATCGTTTGAAAGGCAAATTATTTCTCTTCAAAACCATATCAATACATTTCAGATTTGATCTCTTTATAAGAAATATATAAAGAAAAACTCCCTAAAAGTTTATATTTTTTATCTCCAAGCCTAATTTATATATGGGGGGTCTGGTTTATGGCATTCCTAGTCCTGTCATAAATATTGTTAAAAGGAAAAATATACTGATTTCCACCGAAAAATTATTTTTTTCAAAAACTTTATTAGAAAATAAAATGTACATCTATAGAGTAAAACAAAAAAGAAATTACTCAAAATGTCCCCCTTTTATTTAATCATATTTTATTTAATCTCTGGGGCATTATCAACAGCAGCAAACCCTTCTTGAGGAAAGCACTTAACGGATCGGAACAGAACAGACGATTGTTTGAGGCTTTCCAAGTTAAGGTGTGCTCTGTGGTATGCCATCCTCTCCAGTTCAGACCAAAGCCGATAATTAGTGGATTGAGATTAGAGCTTCCTGAGGGTCAATCCGAGGCAGAGATGAACTCTGGAATGCAGAAATGTAGCCATTGCTGAGTTGACCTGGCCTTGTGAGCTGTAGCAGAATCCTGCTGGAAAATCCAATGACTTCCAGGAAACAGAGTATCATTTAGAGGCTCGACAACAGGATCCAAAATATCGTCCTGATAGTTTATAGCGGCTGTTTCAACTCCTTTTTCACAAAAATGGAGCTTTGTGGTGCCATAAAAGAAAACTCCTCACCAAACCATCACTGAGGAATTGTGATCTTTCCACTCTTTCAATAACTTCCTGGGCTTCTTTAGAGCTGTGTGCGTATACACAATCATTTTGGCAATTAAATTTTTCTTGAATTGTAAAAATATTCTCATCGCCAAACAAAATTTTTCAATGAAGACCATTGGTATAACGGCCAAGGAATACTTTGCATCTATCCACTCTAATTTATTTTGGGTAAGCGCTTAGCCTTTATCCTGTCATTTGTCAAACTGTACCCATCTTAAGGTCACTTTTAATTATGCAAGACATTGATCCGAGAGAGATTCCCATTTCCTGAGACATGAATTGCTGTTTTCGAATGGGATTTCTTCTAATACGAGCAGCCACTTCTCTCACTGCATTTGCCGTTCTCACAGTGTGGAGACGTGGACAGATAATAATAATACCCTGGACGAATAGGCTAAAGCGTGTGTAACAGCACCGCTAGTTGCCTGGCAACCGGATAACAGAGATTTGAGATGATATAAAAAGTACGAGTTCGCGTCCCGGTGCCGGAGAGGATTTTAAATTCCCCTCCCTCACCCCCCGGCCCGGGAAAATCCCGTATGGACAGATACTAAATAATACCCAAGGATGTAAACAAAGTTCAACTTTTGTAACAATATTTATGGCAGAGCTAAGTATTAGGTATTAGGACCTAAATACATGCTAATTTACTTATCATAAGTGAAGCCACGTCGAAGTAATAACAACTTTTGTGATTTTTATAAAAAAAAAAAAAAAAAAAAAAAAAAAAAAAAAAAAATCAATTCTCCAGAATAGGTGGAATTTTTTTTTTAACTTTTCGATTGGTATGAAAATTTGCATTTAAGGATTTTTCGAGGTGCGAAATAAAAATTTCATCTTTCTCTTTTAAAAAAAATATTTAAACTCTCTTTACTCCTTAAGTCGGTACTAATAGTTTTAATATTGTACTCATACTATAGCTGTATGCCATATATATCTATTTTTTCCTAAACCAGATGGGTATCTACCTAAGGATGACTGTATTCTCAAAATCTGTATTTTGTAGATTCGATTCAATCCGAAAATAAGAATGAAGCATGTAACATACATACTATACACAAATTATACCATGAAATATATTGAGATAATAGATAAATATATAATAGATTTTGTAATATATGATATTCTAAACCAAACCTCAAATAAATTGATATGCAATTAAAGCTTATTAATAATTACTATTACTAATAACTATTACTATTACTAATAAAATTGGGATATTTGTATAATTGTAGCATGATAGAAATAAATCAGGAATAATCCAGGATTTAAAGAAAAACTACACTTAGCCATAGTTCGGCAGCTCAAAAATCCCCTTTTAATGGTTTTAACAAAGACTCTGTTTGTATTTGAAGGAAATTTTGTCAATTTTACTATGAAGCAATTTTTAATTACCTGAATTAAATAGTTTTTGTATTACAGCTTCCTATGAGAGAGAAAGCGTGACCACCTTAAGAAAAGACAAAATTGGACTTATTCCTTTCCCATTCAAAACGGCACAAACATCAAATGAAACTTTGTCTTTAATCACTTTCTGGAGTTTGGCAATTAAGGAACTGGGACTCCCTGTATAGCAGCTCAGTAAGATTTTAGAAGCGATAAATTATTTTTCTCTGAACATAGTAGAAGGGTAGTTCAGTAATGCACTGTAAATTGGTTTTGAATCCTATATTAATATAAGTATTTAATCTGTTAAATTAGCTATGGAGGATACCATAGTTTTTAGCGGAGTCATGGTCAAATCAAGTCCTTGCACAACCATTGGAAAAGAAACAGTGCTTACTTACCAAGTAATAAAGTAAACCCAATAAGAGCCTTCATAGGTTATAGTGGTATCGGTGATTTTTAATTTATTGTATTTTACATTTAAATTGCACAATAGGATCAAGACATTTAACAAAAAAATTCAGGCAAGAGAGAACACTGTTAATATACAAACCTTTTGTTTTTTAATCTTCGCCGCATACTTGAGGGCTGACAAGAGATCACGCCTTGTAAACTGAAAACCACCTTTAAGCCAGGGAAAGAGCTGAGCCACTGGCAAGGGCTCAAAGAACTCAGATGACATTCCTAAAATTGAGCAAAGTGCAGCATCTTCTTTGATAAGACCAAATAATAAAGCTAAAGTATAGCATTGGTCAGTACGAAGGTTGGCCCTGAAAAAAAAAAAAAACACCATTAAGACAAATTAAGCAAAAGTAGTAATAGATTTGACAAACTGTGATGAAAAATAAAATTAGTTCATAAAATGATTGTTAGTTTTACCTCGAAGAGGGTTAGCTAGAAATAAATTAGTTTTATGTATTAGTTGTTAATATTAATTTTAAGTCAGTATAACAGCAGACATATGAGAGAGAAAAACAAAAGGGAGTTTAGAGTGACGGCGGAATCTCGCGAGTGTTGAGGCACACTAAGGATTTTTATGTGAAATAATTTTGCTTTATGGTGTACACCCGATTTTTCTTTTCCTCTTCAAGAACCTGTGATTATCAGTGACGAGTGCCACTTTATACAAGTTGGTGAATGGACATTTTCACAGCTTGTGGAGGTGGACTGGAGAGAAGCTGATGACACTAGCTGGAATAAGTTCCCGCTTCCTCAGGTAACTCAATGTGACAAAGTTCGGCATTGAGATTTTGTAAATATGTATATATAAGTTAATATTTCCTATTTTTTACTTTAAATATTTGTAATTGGATTATTGGATAGACTAAGTAAATGTTTAGTGCTATAATAATTTTACATTCTTTTTTTTTTATTAAAGTTAAGTGTATTTTCTTTGTTTTCTTATAAATCTAATTTCTTGTTAATAATTTTCATTTCCTTTAACAGTTATTTAAATCAATAGAAATAAGTAAATTCATCATTAGTATTAATAATAGCCAGGTTTATTTTATTCTTGTTCTTTAGTTTGTTTTCACGTATTAGGTATATATTATAATGTTTTGTTTTTTTAGGTTTAAAAAGGAATTGTAAAACTCTATTCGAGGGATTAAGGAAAATTAATATTAATAGAGTGAGAAGGTTCAATAGGTTTTTGAGGTTAATTAACATATGTTTTTAAACCCATAGGTTCAGAGGTCATAGCTCTCTCTGCGTCCAAATCTTTTTTTTAAAAATTAAATCAAATTTTTTTTTTTGATCGTTTTCGCTATTTTCCAAATTCAACAAATTAAATAGCATGGCGCTCATTAGACAGTTATTAATATTTAATTGACTTCACTAATTTTTTTTTTTGGGAACCCTACCGTCTCCACTGAGCATCCGGCATAACAAATGGCCGTCAAAGACCCTCTACGAACAACAACCAATTCTGTGCGACGCTCCATTGAAATCCCAGCTCATACCATTAAGGAACCACATTGGAAAGGTTGGCTCTGGGAAAAATTACAGGCTGCATATCTTTAGTTTCTTCTTCTCCATACCCTTTCACGCCCGTCTGGAGATCGAAGAGCGAATCTTGACTCATCTGTAAAAAGTACAGCACTCCATTCGTCCATAGTCCATTGGCTGTGTTCTTGAGCAAAAGCCAGCCGTGTTACTCTGTTCATTCTGGTCCTCTTACTGGACGAAAAGCCATTTATCCATACCCATTTAATCTTCTCCGAGCAGTACGTTCAGAAATTAGCACACCTCCAACTTTTTCGAGCTGATGAATCGCTTGAACAACGGTACCTCCAACTTTTTCGAGCTGATGAATCGCTTGAACAACGGTAAGGTGCCAGTTTCGTAAAATTTTCAAAGTCAAAAACAGGTCACCCCATGGTTCTGTTACCCTAGGCCGTCCAGAACCGGGCATTCTATTGTAAGAACCAGTTTTCCGAAAACGCCTGACGGCGTCTCGGCTTATCTAATGGAACGTCCATCATCAATAAGTGCCACACCACGCGCAACATCCTCAGCACTAAGAGGCATTTTTAAACTTAATATCGAAAAAAATTAAAAGCCGGAGACTAAGAAATGTGCTGCAAGAAACGGCACTGAACTAATGATACTGAATAAACATTTTGATTCCATAGAAAGTAAACATTGGAACCTAGAATCATTTCATTGAATTAAGAATTAAGGGTTATTGTCCTCTATATTAACATTGAATTGAAAACAAACAAAAATATTACCTATTTATTCATTAAAAACAATAGACCAATCCAAAGCAGAAATATTTTTAGATGAAAACATTAAAAAATCAAGTGGGTGGAATTTTTTGCCTGTCAAGTGTATTTTGACACTAAAGAAGCTAAATGTATGTTTTTACAACAAAACATTAAATGATATTCAAAGGTTAATAAGAATAGTAGAGTTTTATTGATTAATCATAACATTCTCTCAGACTCTTACCATTTTTTAAACAAGGAATAAATAATTTACTTCTTCACAAAATTTCATATTCATGAAAAAAACAAATTCCATATTGCAAGTATTGAGGCTAATAGGCTTTTTGATGTTTCATTTGATAGGTACATTAACATTACATAAAACTGAGTAAAATATAATAAACAATGAGAGAAATAATAAAGACCTGTTAAATTCTTGATCACTATTCGCTGTTTCAGCAGCATATTCAACAGCTGAGGAGATCTTGTCTTGGACATACTGTTCAGTAAGAGCTAGGAGCCTTTTTAACCCAAAGCTTTCATTTATCATAGCTTGAGTTATTGGGCCTGAAGCCATTATTTTTTTTTCTTCTTTTTATACTGTAAATATAAAATACTATTACTACTAAAAATTATGAAAAGTAGTATTGACTAACAAATCAAAGATTAATACACAAACTTAACTTATTAATAATTACAACCACTTCCTAACAAAAGTTGTTCAGATAACAGTGATAAGATTACAAATATTCAAACACTTTTTTCCTCCTACATTAATTACTACTAATAATCAGTGAATCCATTAGCCATAATAAAATAGTAATAAGTTAGCCAGGAAACATGGGACATAACCTAAAAGACTAGCCAATTAATCAGAACATAATGACAATATAACTGAGAATATAAAAATGATAAGAAAATTTAAAAGTGGATTGGAACTTATTATTTCATTTGGAAGTTAAAATTAAACAATTATTCATATACTTTCAAGAGAGAAAGAAAAATTCTTTGAAATTGTTAAATAGTACAGTATAATATTATTGGCTAATGTTTTGAAAACCTTATTTTACTTGTTTTATAACTCGATAAGACTTTTTTTTAACAAATAATCTTATTTTTAAAGGTTTGATTGTCTAGCTGGAGTGGTGTCTTAAGCAGAGTCATTTATAATAAACCTTTTGTTTTTTTTTATTTTCCACCCGACATAGAGGGCAGTTCTACGAATTTTAACCATTTTATTATGAGCTTCATTATTCACACCATATTTGCTGAAAAATATGATTCATGATCTTTTTGAATAAATTCTATCTGTTTGTTGCCCATTTCATATTATAAAATCAGGTGAGGTCTTCCATTTGCAATGGGCAATATGTATCCAGGTTTATATTTACCTATTTACCTTATATTTTTTCATATAGACACATCTTGACCCAACTCAATAATAAACTTGTAATTTTTGATAATACACATTTAATTATACTTCTATTTTAGGTATGGATCTGAATGACGGCAAAAGAATTCAGCCTATAAATAAACTACTTTTAGATGATTGTGAACTGCAATGCAACTTTATACTAAAATTTCTTTAGAAAATATTATTAAGAAACATAAGTACTGAACAGAACTTGTAATATAAGTTCTTCCTAGCAAAATGAATGATTGGTTTATTTGAGTAATATACATAAAGACAAAAAAATAATCTTAACTTAACAACTTTGAATTACTTTTACGACAGATCATTTTTCACAAATTCGAGTAACAATCAATATAATTTTTTGACAAAAAATAATTCCAATCTCAACCAATCAACTAAAATGTGATTAACGATTTCGGTGGGAATTAAAAAAAATAAACGACTTGATAACATTCGGTGGAAATTAATAAAATAACTTGACTTGATAACATTGATAAAGGGTAAGAAATGTTAATATGGAATTACATTTGATCATAACTATACATGCAGTATTAAAATAATCCTGTAATTTATCAATAACAAAAATTTAACCAATGATCTACTATATTAGCTTTAATAAAAAGCAGTAATAGGTTCTCATTAAATAATCAATTAACTTCAATCAGAATCATTGAGGCTTTGTAGAGCCACCATGGAGTGATGTGAATCACAGAACTCATAGAGAGAAGCTAAATAATGAAATGAACCAGAAATTCTTCTTGAATACATTTAAAATGAAAACTATTAACTGTTATTTTGAAGTGTAATATTTTATTAAACAAAAGGCTGGATTTGGCTAATCTAAATTAATTTTTTACCACCAATACTTCACTACATAATATGGCACAAAAGTACATTAGAAACAACTCTGATTATACTACACTAAGTATATTTAAGCTATACATTAAAAAATTTAGTTCTAGAAATTCCTTAAGGAACATCTCCATGACAGATTTGTCCAAGAATAAAGGTTTAAAAATTAAACTGATTCCACTAACATAAAATCCATATAGATTCAGATTCTTAAAACGCAAGTAAAACAATAGAAATAAAATTATAATATGCCTTATGATAGAAAACATAAAAACAGAACCAAGTCCATAACTTTGAAAACCTTAAGTATAGTACAAATCAACCGAAAACAATAAGATAGAATGAGTAATAACCAAATCTAACAGAATTCTATGAACGTAATTATGAGATGAGTATGTTTAACCTTAAGTATGTACAAAATACTTACCTCCACAAAGATATCACAAGACGAAGTTGAACCCGTCAAAGTAGACAGTAAAATGGCGCTGCAACAAGTGCATCTTATCGTTACTAAATCGATGTAATATGATAATGACATAAACAAATAAACCTTAGTTTAAACAATCGATTTATTAACCGAAAAAAACTTAAAGTTATATATTATGATAAAATAAATAATTAAATTAAAAATTATGCCTGATAATGGTTACTAAATAACACCAACGGCTTGGATTTTTGGATACAGTTCACGACCCCCACCCACTATTTGTCATTAACTTCAGAATTTTATCATCATTATTTAAATAAATAGATTTATGATATTACTTTTCGATGAAATTTATACGTATAATTTACATACATAACCGAAAATCAACTCTCCCATTGAAATTAAGAAAACAATCATTTATAAATAAATAAAAATAATTTAACTGTCAAGTATATACTTTTTACTTACCACACCAATTAAAATATCTATTTAACTTTATTCGGAAACTTCTATCCAGAAGCTAAAGAAGAGAAAAAAGAATACTTTACTTAAGAAAAATTAAGATATTTCATATCCTATTCCTCAAACATTTAATGGTTTAATCGGTTTAATACAAAGTTTTTTAAATAAGTATTTTTTACAAAACTGATAGTCTAACTAAGTAATTCTGCCTTTAAAAACACCATAGACTCAATGTTCATCCATAAAAACTAATACAATTCCACGGATTGCCAAGTAGAAATTAAGTTCTGTTTATATACACTGCTTCAAAAAACTTTCCATGCTCTTAGTTTTTCTTTAACATTGCTATTAATCTATTTATTATATTATTTTTATTAATCAGGAAGGATAGTAGAGGCAAAAGTGTACTATCATGATACCAAGTTCATGCTGGATCACTAATCCCATAGTAGGGTAATAAACAACTTTAATCTGAATGTCAAAACAGATTCAACTCCTCTATGATTTCTTAATTTTATTTCTATTCAATGCTATTATTTCACTCAAATTTATTATCTGAACACTAGTAGTCTGTGGGGCAGACCCCCTTACCGTACACCCCCCCCCCCCCCCCACATCCCTATAAATTGCATATCGTTGTGTTCCTTGTGACAATTTATTAAAAAAAAGCCAATGTTCCCACAAAAAAAAGTGAACGAACTGCCCCAAAATGGCGTCCAAACATGGCGGATTGACGACTTTGACTGTAGTTAGTTTTTTTGTTACTGAGAATCAGCATTTGGCTTAATTTCATTATAGTTGGTCTTTTATTAAAGCTGGATAGTCATAGAATAATAAATCATGAAAAAATATTAAAAACTAATTGGCTTAGGCATTAAAAAAAATCGGTAAAGTCAATTTTTTTTACAAAAAAAATTTCAAGTCGAAAATCAAGCGTCGTTTGTAATTAAACGGTCAACAATAATGCAAAACGTGCTGAAATAAAACATCTGGAGAATACATTTCTCATTCTAAAACACTGATTACTTTTTAAAATATTTGAAGTAGTTCCGCATAAAATGTACTTAAGCGGCAGAAAAGCGCTACTGGCGTGGGTACCTACAGGCTTCTACCACACCACTCAGTACTCATAAATGGCTTAGTTTTAGTGCTATAATAACGTTTTTGTTATATTTTATTGAGTATATTAACGAACAAATATTAATACAATAATTTAATTGTAGAAAATTATTTTTTTTTAATTTATTATTTTTGTTTTTATTTTTCATTATTATTTTTTTTAAATTTAACTTCATTTATTCTATACGGAGATCGCTTAAGAAGGCCTCTATTATAAAAATTATAAAATTATAATAATAAAACATAATTCAAAAATACTTTGCAGAATATCTTGATTTTTGTATTTAATATTTGCAATTTTGTTTTATATATTTACTGATTCTTAGAGGTAATTTAAATTGTATATACTTCCCCGGAAATGAGTCATATTAATATCTGTTTTATAAACTAAAATAATATATACCTAATCTGAACTGCTTTTAATGAATAGGTGATGGATTGTTTAGTAAAATTGTTATATCGCTATTAAAGAAACCATTTTTATTTCCTTTATTTTATTCGGAAGTTGGACCATATCATAAAAAATTGGAACTTTTAATATTAAAGTGCATTATTCCCTCTGCACAAAAGAAATATGGAAAGGGCGAAGCTATAAGTTCTTCTAGGTAACTGGAACTGATTGTTAGTATTTGGTCTCAAAATGAGGGAAAACGCGAAATTGAACCCAAACATTGGAAAAATACCTTAAGCCAAAATTTCGGAAAAGAAAACAAATATCAGTATATATTATATGGCTAAACGAATATATATAGTAGACAGATGAACAGAATATTTCAAGATTCTGCTAAAAGGGGGTAAAAATGCTTGACCAGTTTGGATGATATTAAGGAGGTTTATTATGGTGAAGAAATTTCATCAGCAAGAAAGATTTATTCTAAGCAATTGGCAAGCAGGTCTGGAGGAAGTAAACGAGGTTTATAATAATGAAAACCACTTTATTTTAGATTGCTATTGAAGTTGCACGTTGGGACTATCTTCACTTTCAAGCAGGTTATAGAGAGGTCTACCGAGAAAGGAAAATGGTTCTCTATCTGCTTCCGAACTTCCGAATACAATTAAGGAAATAAAAATGATTTTTTTTATAGCGATGTATGAATTTCACTAAACAATCCATCACCTATTCATTAAAAGTAGTTCAGATTAGGTATATATTATTTTAGTTTATAAAACAGATATTAATATGATTCATTTCCGGGGAAGTATATACAATTTATATTACCTCTAAGAATCAGGAAATATATAAAACAAAATGTTAAATTGCAAATATTAAATAAAAAATTCAAGATATTCTGAAAAGTATTTTTAAATTAAGTTGTATTATTATAATTATATAATTTTTATAATTAGAGTCATTCTTAAGCGACCTCCGTATAGAATAAAGGAAGTTAAATTTAAAAAAATAAATAATAATAAATAAAAAAAATAATAATAAATTAAAAAAAATTTTTTTTGACAATTAAATTATTTTATTAATATATGTTCGTTAATATAATCAATATAATATAACAAAAACGTTATTATAGCTCTATAACTAAGCCATTTATGAGTACTGAGTGGTGTGGTAGAGGCCTGAGGCACCTACGCCAGTAGCGCTTTTCTGCTGCTTATGTACATTTTCTACGGAACTACTTCAAATATTTTAAAAAGTAATCAGTGTTTTAGAAAGAGAAATGTATTCTCCAGATGTTTTATTTCAGCACGTTTTGCACTATTGTTTACCGTTTAATTACAAACGACGCTTGATTTTCGACTTGAAATTTTTTTTGTAAAAAAAATTGACTTTACCGATTTTTATTAATGCCTAAGCCAATTAGTTTTTAATATTTTTTCATGATTTATTATTCTATGACTATCCAGCTTTAATAAAAGACCAACTATAATGAAATTAAGCCAAATGCTGATTCTCAGTAACAAAAAAGCTAACTACAGTCAAAGTCGTCAATCCGCCATGTTTGGACGCCATTTTGGGGCAGTTCATTCACTTTTTTTTGTGGGAACATTGGCTTTTTTTTAATAAATTGTCACAAGGAACACAACGATATGCAATTTATAGGGATGTGGGGGGGGTGTACGGTAAGGGGGTCTGGTCCACCGGGTATAGATTCAAGGTTTGATTAAGGTTCAGCACAGGCTGATCTACGGAGGGAAAGGAGGCTTCATCCCGAAAGCCCTTCCCTCTTACCCCCCAAAAATAATATATCTTATTAAAAAAACATTTAAAAAGTACCTCTAAAACTATTATTTTTCGTGTACTTACATTTAATAGGACTTAAAAAGTCACTTAAACACCATCTCGTATCGGTATGTAATTCTTTTCTTTTTCTTCCAAAGTAATTATCGTTATAAATTAGAAAACAAATTTTCGGGCTGGAGCCCCCCTCCCCCAAAAATGAAATCCTGGATCCACTAGTAAGGTTCAGCCTGCTTCGAATCATCATTATATGTTTAGAGCAGTGCGTGAAAAATCACGGTGTTTAAATTGAAGAACTCAAAGCAGCTCTATTGACAGAATGGGATTCAATTAGCATAATGATAATTTACAGTAGGCTGAACCTTAATTAAAACTTGAATGTAGTGTTCAGATATAATAGAATTATATTATGGCATTGAATAGAATTAAGATATTATAGATGTATGGAAACATTTTTGACAATCAGAATAAATTTTTGTTATCATTTTGGTACACTTTTCTCCCTACTACTCTTCCTGATTAATACAAATAATATAATAAATAGATAATTAGTAATGTCAAAGAAAAACTAACTGTATGGAAACGTTTTTGTGGCAGTGTGTATGTATATATATATAAGTTAAGCGTCGGCGGACTTCAAAAATAAAAAAAAAGAAGGAAAAGGATTGAGATACAACACTCACGGCTTCTGAATAAACACTGCTTTATTCGTTCAATAATCTTCCTTATATACAGTTGTCATGTTTATTTACATTACAGGATGGTATTAAGGCTGATATCGCCAGTCTCCGGTCTTTATCTCCCCCCCACCAGTTTACGAATAGGATTTTCGGAAACTTAAAGATTCCTAGATCGGAACCAACGGTTACCAGCCTTAACACTTTACAATTGTTCTTACCAGTATACACTTAAAAGAAACTAAAACTCACTTCCACTCAGCTGGAACGAGAAATAAATAAAAAGATATCAAAACACAGAAACTAAACAAAACACTTGCTTACAACGTCTTATTAACAATGGAACAGAACTCTTAATAAACTATAAAAAAAACTACAATTGCCTCTACTGTATTGCTATAGCTCTATTTACATTAAAAAAAATGACATCATCTTTATGTTTTAACAACCAGAAAAAAAACACGTCTCTTATCCACAGCGGTGAGGGTACTACGAATCCGTTGGTTTATGTTCCGGTTCTATCATTGGGAGCTTCAATTGTTCAATGTAAACAGTTCTCCTCTTTTTAGGTTCGTTAATACTTTCGATGGTTAGCAGATTATGCTTCCTAATAGCAACCACTCTGAATGGACCCTCGTATCGTAACAATTGTTTCCCCTGTTGGTTCCTAATCTACGGTACACTATTGTTTCGATCTTTAGTTCTCCCCTTTGGTCACGTACCTGCACATTCTGCCTCTCCACCCGCTTCTTCTTTTCCCGCTTAATTTTCCCCATTACTTTTCCCCACGTCTTCTCTACCTCTACCCGATTGCTCTGGATTTGCTCTACTAACGGTTCGGTAATCGTTGTTTCCCCACAATCTCGCCTTGGCCTGCGCATCCCGAATAGTACTTCCACGGGTGAAAATCCCGTTACGGAGTGAATCGAGTGGTTATATGCTGTTACCGCTTTCTTCATCGCAACATCCGGCTCCAACCCTTTTTTCCCCTGATATACACGGATGTGGTCACTCAGTGTGCTGTGCAACCGTTCGATGCCGCCTCTGCTTTTAGGATGTCCCGGGGTGTTATAGTGCCAAACAATCTCCAATCGTTTCACCTCCTCCCTAATCGCGG